TACTATCTACCAAATCCAAGGGTAGGATCTGGCACTGCAGTATGGATGCACTTCGAAAAATTAATGTATTCCTTTCTTAGGATCTTCTATTTCCAGACATCCTGCTGGTTTAAGCACTTCCTTTGTGCCCTTTACATACTGTGCCTTAATGACTATATCGTAGTGTGAATATCCAACTTACCAACATGTGATCAATAAGTTTCTTCAGAATCTCAGCAACTCTTTTGCACTTGCTGGAAGCATAACTGTAGATGAGAGTTGTTGCCCCCTGGTTCCAGTCCACAACGATGACGTTCATGTCCTCTACAGAAAGCAGGAGRTGCACCAGGTCAGGGATCCAGACCGGGGCAGAGCCTGTGAGTCGGTACCCATGGATGATGAAGGTGGTTTTCTTGGTCACATCGAGGTACTTGGAGTTTGTTGAGTGGATCTCCTCGGCACAGGTTGGATTCTGCCGGGTGTAGAGCAGCAGCTTCACTTTCAGCTCCGTTCCTATCAAAGCACTCCCAAAGCTGAGGGCTGTGAACGCAGGACATGTCTCCTGAGGATCTGAAAGGAGTAGAGTGGCATCAGAGTTTAGCACCAAGGTGTCTGCTTTCAYCTGTTGTACCTGCCAGCCCTGCACACGGCAGAAAAATGTATTGTGAGTCATCTGAGCCCAGGGGCTGYTCCTTTGCTCTCTCCCTTGTCCCTCCCCTCTCCATCATGCTCATGACATGCTCAAAACCTTGGACCTTACGTTTCCTTGCCATGTGGGAACAAAGAGCAATCACACCTTTTGTGAGCAGCGTTCTCTGAAACACCACAGTCCTGCTTCCACTGGGAGTTGGCAGGGCCTCTCTCCACAAATCTCACTGGTGTGGGGACGGTGTTAGAGACTGACAAGTGGGATGGTCRCTGTACTGGTCTGTGAGCACACCCAGGTGCTCTGGACCAGGTTCTAGGCTAAACAGATGTCCTTGGGGTTGGTTTGCACCTCCAGCCTGGAGCTGCCAAGCTGCAGAGGATCTTGCTGTGGTGAGGGACAGCTCAATGCTTCATTTGTGTGTGCAGATGTATTTTCTGGGGCACCCTTGGCTGTGTGAGATGGTAATTGTGCTTTATACACAGCTGAAGAGTAACTGAATTTGATATAAGTGCTGCTCGATGGGATGGCCTATGCCATTGGAAAGCCTGTCTTTGTTCTTTGCTTTTCCAGCAGAGCACCAGCTGAGCCTTCAGAGCCCAGTACAGTCTCCAACAGGGTGCTGGCAGGCAATGGAATAACTGTCTCCAGACGTACACTGCTTATGAAGGCCCTCCCAGGTTTATGGCTCACAATCATTTCCTTCAAACCCTTGTAATCTTATTGAAGAACCTTGTTGGGTTCTTCAATAAGATTGTGTGTCTCTCTYACCCATATGTCCTGGGCTGCAATAATTGTTCAGGCTGCAGTTCCAAGAGGAATCTTCCTGATCTTTGTTGCTTAAAGGACTGTGCAGTAGGTAAAAGGGTTTAGAAAACCTGCAGCTGTAAGGTAATTATGCTCTAGCAAATCTCMAATGCTCTGTGCAGTTTAATTTCTGAATGATGAAACTCTCACAGTTTCTATGAGCAACTTTCCCTTTTCTCCTCCTCAGGAAATCAGGAACATGAGAGTGATATAAATGCTATGTGCCCAGCACATAAAACAATCTGCTTAGTTGCCATAGTTCTGCTAATTACTTTGTAGAAGCCCCAGGAGCTCCAGAAATAAAAGTTAATAGGCTAAAAGGATGTTGCAGTTAAGTCCAACTGAATATTTTAAATTGCTACCATAAATTCAGAAATAAATTTTAACATCTGAAATCYRTGGAGTCCCTCCTGTATAAAGCCTRTGGTTACATATGAATGGTGTGACAGGAGTGATGGGAAATGAGCCCTCAGCCAGGCCCAGTGAAAGCAGGGGCCTTAGAGGGAGRGTTTTCTGCCTCTGTAATGCTTCTCTCAGAGCTCCCAGGAGCAGTGTGACTCTGGGCCCTGCTCCCAAGAGGAAAGATGACCTGGGTGGCTGCTGCTTGGCAGCCTGCTCTCAGCTCATTCTTACAGTTCCAGGATGCTCAGGGAAACAGCAGCAAGGGTTCTATGACACTATCTCTTGTGGAGATCCCAAAGTAACTTGCAGAGAAAATTGAATGTTTTTTTCTGATGCACTCCAGCTCACACAGTGAGACTCAGTGACTGTCCTCTAGGTGCTACTGCAGCATAAAGAAATACAACTGTGTGTTTTACTAATAACTAGGCATTGTTATAGTTATTGTATAGTAGCACTATATAGTGTTGTTAATTTTCTTTACTGCCACTGAAGCTGCAGCAATACAGGCAGAAATTCCAGGCAAGAATTACTTCTATATGGTGCAAGATTGCACTGATTGCTCTATTTGTTKCTGTATTTCCTGCACTGTGCTGAGGCTTGCCCAGAGGAGCACTGTTTTTGTTACCAGAACAGCCCAAACCTTCCAGTACAGAAGAGCTTTCAAAGAGCTGGTCAGCATTTGCTGATACTAATACAGGGGCTGCTTGAAGAGCCCTGTTATATCTGCACCAGGTCTATTAGTTTGGCTCTGTTTTGATTAACAAAATAAGATCAGTGCTWATAAGGGGATGAAACCTGCCAGCTTCTCTTCTGGCAAGCTGGTGCCCATCCCATCCCAGCCTCATCCACCATGTGTTCAAAAGCTGACACATGAGGACGGCCAGTTATCCTGACTTTGCTCTTCCTTCTGCTAAGCACAGTAACTCTGACCCAAATGGCTGCAAGTGTCTTTGATASTCCAGGATGATTGGGCAAGTGGCTTTATTGAGATTTATTCTGCAAGCAAATAAGCGAGGTGGAAACCTTCACCCTGGCACTGTATTTAACCTGTGTCCAACAGACCATTTCCCTCCAGGAAAGGGGAATGGATGTGGCCATTAAGCCARCATCCCTGTAACTCACTTCCAGCCCTGCCTTAGCTTGCTACAAGCCTCTGGCAATCCCCATTCTCCCTCTGCTCAGTCTTCTGATACATAAAATAGGAGGCAAACACTGGTTTGCTGGGCAAGGTGCTCTGATGTCCCAGAACCTGTGGAGGTGAGTATAGAAATGTGTTAAATCCATGTACCTGCCTGGGAGCTGGACGTGCCTGGTCTCGAGGCTGAGATCAGCCTCCAAGGTGCTATTGCTGCAGGGCATCTTCTGAATAACTTGGTTCTGAAGTTATTTATACATATATATATATATATATATATATATATATATATATATATATATATATATATATGTATTCTACAGTTTTATGCTACCAGGTAGGAGTGTTGCAGTCATGGGAACAATCCCAGGCAAACTCCCTGGTATTTACTGCAGACAGTGCTACTTAAGGCCTGCATTGCCCTGGTCTCTCTCATTTATTTTTTTGGAGATGGTGTTTGGAGGCTCTTTGATGTTGATGCCATGGACAGGCAGGGTTTGCCATGGTGGCCTTTTGGGGCTGTGRTCCTGAGCTGTCTGCATGAATAAAGTAGCAGCTGAGGTTTTTACCAGTCTGTCTACTTGCAAAGCGAAGTTCCAACAGATTTTTCACCTCAGTGGGTCAGTGGTCACTTGGCTGGACATGTGGCTGTCTCAGYTGTAGTCCTTGGACACAGAGCTGCTCACCCAGGGAGCACCTGCATGGAGCCCAGGTGAGTGTCACTGCCTCTCTAGCTGTGTGCAGGAGTTCTGGCACTCCAGCCCCTGCCACCTCGCCTGGGCTTTGTACAATGTGTGTCATCACACTGGTCTTAACCAACAACTATAACTTTTCCCCTTTAAGCACACTTCYCCACCACACACTGAATCTCGGGAGCATTAGAGAAGATTTCTGTCATTTTTCCACAGAGAGGGTGTGCCCTCCACCCTTAAACTGATCCTCAGTAGCTCACTGTGTTTTCTGGATGCCTCTTCACATGATTCTCTCTTCCCACTTCTTGTGACTACATTTCCTACAGAGTATTAAACAAACCAAGCAAGTGATGACCCTGAGATTACTCCAGAGGACCCGATGCAACACAAGTTAGTATTTATAAGARCACTGTTTTTTAAAAACAGTTTGTTTTGTTTGTTTTCCCTACAAAGCAGAGAGCTGTAACTTGCCTCGCTCCCATGTGTATGCTAACACAAGGCAGTACATTTGTTTATTGTTACACAGGTTGATTCTTGTAGAGCAGAAGGATATCAAATGGAGTTCACTGTTCATAAATGGTAATTCATCCTTCGCCTCTGTCGTACAAGACATCCCTGAGAAGAAATCATTATTCTCTGAAGATTTGGAGTGACATTTTCAGTGTCGATGGATAGTACTTATATAAGAGAAATGTTTGCAAAGGGAGGAAAAGAGAATAAAAAATACTTCTGGTTTTCCATTTGGAACTCTTAGAACTGACTACACTCACATAACCAGTATAATTTGCTTTGCCAAAATAAATCATGCTAGTGAGAAACCCCGCGCAGTAACTGTAATGCGGAGGGCAGATACATTCATGTTTCTGCAAAGCACAGAAAAGGTGTTCTATTTGACAAAAACATTCAAAACAAATGGTTGATCTCTTACCTGTTTTCACCCCATACAAAAGGTAGATGAACACAACACACAGCCTCAGCATATGGACTTCTACATGGAACTTCTACGGGTAAAAGGTTTTAAGGATCCCACAATTTCTCTGGTATGTGTCTGCTGGCTCTGACAGCAGTTTGCTTGCTTTTTGTTCCTGCCAGTAACAGTAGGTGTGGTGAAAAGAGGAAATTACCAGCTAAGAAATGAAGACCAGTCTTCGGTTATGCAATTGAAGCTTCTTCTTAAGAAGGTGGGRCACCTTCTATTCCAGAAGGTTTCTTTAATTTAAATATAATGTGCCCTGGGGGATGACTAATCAATGACACAAATGGGTTGGTATCATGCTGTAAGCAGCAATTCTACTACACCTGTTGAAATGAAGGAAATTATTGCCTGCCTATTTGTCTTTTGCAAAGCATGTCAGGAAGATTGTAGTTGTCACTGCAAGTCCGATAAGCATCTGGGCGGGGCTTGCTTGGTTTCACAGGGCCCCRCCTTGGGAAGATTCATGATGATCCCTAATCTCCCATATCCCTCTTGCTCTCTGGAGTACCATGGCCCAGAGTCCCTTCTACAAACCTCTGTCACCACCTCAGGCACAGTGTTGTGACCAAGGGAAGGTACCACTTCAAGGTGTCGGGCTCTCCACTGGGCTCCCAAGGACCTGCTGTTTTAGATGACACACACACAACTGGCATTCTCCATTTTCTCACAGACCTGCTGGAACCCCATGAATTCAGCTCTAATTCAAGTAAGGAAGGCCTTTTCTTTCCTTGCAGGATGGAAGGAAGAAGATGGCCAAGCAAAGGTAACTATCAGGGGCAAGGAAAGGAAGTCTGAAATTGGAGCTGAAAGATGGAGTGGCAAAATTGGGAAAATGAGGGTGGTGGGAAGTTTGTAAAGGGGTGAGAAAGGAGGAAACAGGGATGGCTGCTGAATAGAAATTGGGGGTAGCTTTGCCTGGCATTTTCTTAGCAAATTCTTTTAACACAAGCCAGGGGAAGGGAAAGTGGAGTGGATTAGAAATACCTCATTAAACCCAGGCTCTGCTTTTCTTCCCCCTGGTGATGATCCAATGAGGAGCTGAACTACTACAGCTCCTGGCTGCATAGCTGGTTCTTTGGTCCATGCTGTACTTATTAAGCTTTTTGATTTTGCTAATTCTCAAGCTAATCCTTAACTCTTCCTGCTGTCTGCAGCTCCTTCTTGTTCAGACAAGTGTGTGGTGTTCCTCTGGTGCAGGCATGGATCACACTTGAAGCAGAGCATGTGCCCAGCACGATCCTTTCACCTTGAGCTCTTCCGCCTCAAGCAACCTGAGTCCCACTGAACATGTGCCATGCTGTGATACCACTTGGTAATCACTCAGGCAAAAGTTGGGGTTTGTTATGTTGAGGAGGATAAACACTGAGAAAAGACATCAAAAAAACTTCTGTGGATCTGGAAGCTCCAGGACAGTGCTTTTTTTTCTGCTGCACTGGCAAAAGAATGTAATTTAAACATTGTTTTCRTTCCAGCTCCTTTCTCACCTCTACCAGTAATTCTAAACTCTGTCAAAATATTTTCTCTTTAGCAAGTTCTGCCAATGATGAGACGGAATTGATCCAACAGTGAAACATGAAAAAGAACAGAAGGCTTTTACCTATTGCAGAAGACATCTGAGAATCAGGGATAAAATAAGGTAAATCAAGAGGGCCTTGCCTTTCACCTCAACACAGAAAGAGGTAACAATTTGTTGCCTGAAGCTAAGCCCTACTTGTTTCTTTTCCCCATTGCTTTTCTTGGATTTTATTTTTCCATCTGAGGTTGCTCATCTGAGTGGCTTTCACTTCAAGAGGCTTTACACTGGGACTGGCAGGTTCTTCCTTGGAACTCTCAACCATCCCTCAGAAGACCGTGACTTTGAGTTACCATCTTTTCAGCATAAATAAGACTGGGTTTACTGTACCTGTTGACAAATGTTCCCAGGATATCACCACTGGAAATGCTGTCCATGACCACCATCAGATCCCGAGAGCAGGAGTTCAAGTAGCCAACCACCGGTGCTTACAGGTCACTCCCAGCTCTTGAATCTGTGGACCAACCTTTCAGTCCTGCCTCAGCCACACACTCATTAAAGATGGTCACAACTTTTTGGATTTTGTACACTGAACTCTAGACAATAATCCCATTGTGAGCTTTGAAATCAACTGCAACTTGAGACAGTAAAAACTACTTTTTAATCACATGTAGAAAACATTTAAGATCAGAATTAGCACCAACTTAAGAACAGTTTAACAGAAAACACTAAATAATCTTATAAGCATGAARCATTCTGCATTTGGCTCTGAGATGTCAGAACCTCTGCTATTTCATACTCAAGAGAGAGGCATTTTAAACTGGTCACTGTGAGCAGAACCACTGTTGGAATTCGAGAGTTTCAGAAATGTTGTTTCTTCCTTAGGGCAGCTTRTGACAGCAATGGTAAGCMGAAATATTTTTTATRTTGCATTCATGCATGTGCTGTATAAAATCTCACTGATTCACTAATTTCCCGTGGGTGGAACATTTTCATGGAGATACTGGAGAGCCAAATCTGTCCACTTCATTTCTTGCTCTTTCACAGACTCGGTGGTGCCACCGTTGTCTTGCTCTGGTTCAGGGAGCTCATTCTGAGAACAAAACACAGGTATAATGCATTCCATACATAATATACTACCTGAAAGAAGCAGGTTGTTAAGATTTGTATGAATAGATACAAAACCCCACAAACGAGACCAGAGGGTGCATCTGAGCAATAAATATCATACATACTGATCCACTTAAAAATATTACTGAGCCCCATCATGAACAGTGTTCTTTTCATTTGAATATGGTGCTTAATCTGAAAGGCAAATTGTCTTCCAGGACCCTGGGGCCTTGCTATACACTCAGGCTGCTCACACAGTGAGGGACAATATACAGCAAATGCAAAATAAGTAAATAACAGTACAATGCAATTATTCCATTGTTTGTTTGCAGTGTGCTGCTTCTGCTGTTGCCAAGAAYACAAATACTGCAGACAACTGGTTCTTTAACACATTCCTTTCCTATGGCAGGTGAGAAATCCTTCCTGTCTGCATGCTGGACTCAGGTGTGGCTKTGCTGGATCAACAGCAAATGCCAGAACCCCCGCCAGGTGTGCTGCAGAGCTGCTCACGGTGCAGTAAGGGAAAGTAGATTTTAACTGAGATTTTATTTTCCTTCATTCTGTTATTTGTTCTCTCTCTTGCTGTATTGGTGCAGTCACAGTGAGTGTGTGCAATCCTGCTAGATACCATTTGGGCAGGAATTCTGAGTTCTAGACCTCTGGAAATCCCAGCATGAGCTAAATAAAACGTCTCAGCTTTGAAAACAAGTGTATGATTCGAGCCCCTTTGAGTTCCCAGGAATGTCTCTAGTGAGTGCTGGAGCAGATTCTCAGGACAAMCTCAAATACCACTTTCACAGCCATTCCCTGTGAACTCATGCTGGTTTTTCCATGTGATCAGAACCAATCCCATCCCTGGGGATCTTTATATCCACAGCCAGGCCTTTCTTTCTATTGTTAATGGGTGAGGCTTCCTTTTCTGGGGCTGTCATCTGTAGGTGACTGTAAACCATCATGAAATGGCTCTAAGGGAAGAAACAGTAATGTTTAAAGTCAGGATGAAGGCAAATGTCAGCATTTGTGATACTCAATCTGCCTAATAAAGGTTATTCCAAGCAAAGGAGGGCTTGGGCTCTTTCGGCTGAGAATCACACTTTTGCAAGACACTTCCCTGAAGCCCAGCTCTTGGCAGCAAAATATCTGCTGTCCATATGGATTTTGAAGTCRTAAAGCTGCTCCTCGCCCTCTCTGAAAAGCCAGTGGTGGAAGGGATAAAGCTTGAACCATGGCTGCTTTATCTGTGCTAGCCAGGGTAAAGCTTGTGTAGCAGAGAGAACAAGGAAAGGGAAAATCCTCAGCTACCTCCCCTGTCCCTGCAAGTTTCAAAATAGCTAAGGAAAGGTGTCAGTGTGGGACATCTGAAGCTTCAACTCTGGGCTCTGTGGGATCAGTAGCTTTTCCCCCACTGCCTCTCTGTGGCCTCACAGCTGTACCCTGGATGAAAGGAGAGGTGCCATGCCTTGGACACGGCACTGCAAAAAAGAGTCTTGCTGCCCCTGCCAGTCCCTCACTGCCATCCTGGAACTGCCAGCAATAACACTGTATCTGCAAAAGACTGCTTCAAAACACCTGTGGAAACTTCTCAACTTATTTTAATGAACTTGCAGGGAGTGGAAATAACTGTAACCAAGACTGCAATTGTCAGTGTGACATTGATGTTCTGCCTTTCAAACCAACTGGGAAACTACTTAAACACCAGGAAAAAGAAAGGGRAGCAGAGAGAAAGGATGATTCTATTTCCCCCTGATGCCAAACTCAGGACAGTGCAATGGAAAGGGCATTCCAGTTCTCAGAAGATTCAGCAACTGGTCAGGGAAGAGGGACAGAAACAGCCACGTCCTCAWGCATACAGGGATGACCGGCATATAGGGCAAGGAAGGATTCAGATCCATCCCAGGAGCCTTTTGTACAAATTAGCCACACCACAAGCAACACTGTATCTTTTCTTGGAAGGGGATGTGAAAAACACAGCAGCCTTAACTCAGATTGATAAGAAGCAGTTCACCTACCAGAGGGATAGCCACATCCTCGTAGGGCAATTTATCTTCTCTCCATGCATCATCGATCAGATCCAGGATCCTGCCATCTCTCTGCACCTCACTGTCCATCCTCACAGCGGGCGAGAGCAGCTAAATCTGTGACACAAAGCAGATGCTGTTTAACAACATCCCCAGCCACCGAGCTGGAGTTTGGACTCTGGGCTTGCAGTAATCTATACGCAGCTTAAACTTATAGGGAAAACCTTMATTTTCCTAGTCTACTCAAAAAGGACTTATAACCACAGGAGAACAAYTTCATCTAAAAAGAGCTATCAAAGTGAATTGCAGATTGATATGCATCAGAGATTAATATATAAAACCAGCTGGTTATTATTAATAGTTACATGTGTTTACATCTACTGACTATTAGCAGTCTAACTGGAGTGAGTTCGAGCACCTAGAGGTGCCCAGAAGGCAGCTGCCCGTTGCCTTTCAGCCCCTGACCAGTGCGGTGCCTCACCCACACCTTCACATGTCTGCGAGAGTCACAACAAAGGACTTCAAGGCACCCAGAATTCTGCCCGAACCTGAACTCTAGGAAACTGGTGAAACAGAAGCAAAACAAGACCTCTCCTTCACTCCCAGCTACTATAATCACTCCAGGGTGTTTCAYTCTGTCCCCCTTGAAGGGCACCCTCAGGTCCTCGCCCCGGTGTGGCCCTGCGGGGCAACAGCAGCAGCAGAGGCGGCCCGATTCTGGCGGTAGGAGACAAGTGACCCTGATTCAAAACCAACCCAGGCCTGGCACWCCCTGCCGGAGCCGCGATGTGGGCAGAGATGGGCACGGGCCTGAGAGCATCCCAGCCCCGGGGAGATGCGATCCGCGATCCGCGCCCCTCCCGGCCAGCACGGCTCCGTGACCGTCCGATGTCCTCCGTGTCCCCCCCGTGTCCCCCCGGTGTCCCCCCGGTGTCCCCTGCCCGCCCTACCCTGCCCATCTCCGGGGCCGGCGCTGCGCAGGCGCCACCCCAGCGCACACAGCGCATGCGCAGCGCTGCCGGCGCGGGGCCGGACCGTGACCGCCGCCCGGGTGGGGAAGGCGGGAAGGAAGGGGGGCAGGAAGGGAGGAAGGAAGGAAGAAAGAAGGAAGGAAGGAAGGAAGGAAGGAAGGAAGGAGGAGGAGGAGGAGCAGCGGCAGCAGGAACAGGAGCAGCGCTGGGGTGCCGGGCAACCTGGAGCGCAGCTCGGCCTGGGGGTGCGGGGCTGCTCCCCGGGGAGCGGCGCTGGAAGGGGCAGGGCAGCGAGGCTCTTCCGCGGCGGGTGCGGGGTAAACACCGTGAGGGCTCGGCCAGCGGGGAGACTGTGCCTGGGGAGGAGCTGCAGCGTGGGGGAGCGGGGAATGCCTGCCCGAGGACAGCTGCCGTGGGGCTGGCCTCGGCCACTTCACAGGCTGAAGCTGCACCAGGGCGGGTTTGGGTTGGACATCGGGAGGAATTACTTCACAGAGAGGGGGATTAGATATTGGAAGGGGCTGCCCAAGGCGGTGGTGGAGTCCCCATCCCTGGAGTGTTTAAGGAAAGACTGGACGTGGCACTCRGTGCTCTGGGCTGGTGACAAGGTGGGGATCGGGCTCAGTTTGGACTCGATGACCTGGAGGTCTTTTCCAACCTCAGGGATTCTGGGATTCTTACCCTGGCAAGGGCTGGTTCGYTCCGGGCTCCTGCCGCAGGTGGCATTTGTGCCTCTGGCGAAAGGAGCTCGTCTGAGGTATTGCTTTTGGGAGGTTATTGCTCCTTTGTGTTCACTGTAAGCATGCTTCCAGCAACGCTCTAAGATTGCATATTTATATATTTTTAAATGCAAAATAATCCCAGTCTTTTCTCATGGGCACTATTCCTAAGTCCTCCTGTGTATTGTGAAGTTTTCTAGTTTTCTCTACTTGTCTCTACTACAATTTGCCTTGAGCTGGGATGCTAAGCCTTATTTATTTTTAAATGTGTTGTTTTGAGCTGTTTGGGTTTTTTTGTTTCTATTTTTTTTTTTGCAAATACTTCCTTTTCTCCACTTTCAGAAGTGACCAGCCAGCTTTTCTTGCTTCAGCTGTAGTTAATGAAGGAGATTGTTCCCTTTTATGTGTCTTTACTCAGATGCCTGTAACTTGCTCATTGCAACTTGCAAGTGTGAGAGACCAAAATGTAATACTTGGTTAACAACCTTATGTAGCATAAAACTGTCTAGAGGTGTCTGATTGTAAGGCTTTCCCCMAAAACCTGGGCAGGGTGGCAAAACAGGCAAAGCTGGCAGGCTGTGAGAAGCTGCCAGGGTGTCTGCCCCATCTCTGGAAGTGTGMAAGGCCAGGYTGGACAGGGCTTGGAGCAACCTGGGATAGTGGAAGGTGTCCCAGCCCATGGCATGGGGCTGGAATGAAACGGGTTTAAGGTCGCTCCCAACCCAAACTGTTCTGGAATTCTATGCTGTCTGTCTCCTCATCCTTTGCCCACTGAAAATTGATTCTGTGTAGGTGTGATTAGAATGAAAGAGGAGAACTGCTATTGTCTAATGTCTGCTGTTGCTACCTGGARAACTCTTGGAATGCTGTCAGCAGCTCAGGGGAACTGCTCATCTGCTCTCCTCAGCACCCTGCCCTCAGCACAACYACCAAGGTGTTCTGCATACTGATTGAGCTTTGTGAAGCACAAACAGGACCAAAGACAGACAAAACACTGACAGAATAGGGATAGGATTTTTTTTTTCTGTATATCTTTTGTATGCTTGTGGTTTATAACACAGCTCCCAAGGACAGGTTTTAATCCCTGAATGGTGTTTTAAAGTGCTGTGGGAGCAGGATAGAAGATTCTTTGGGAAAGAGAGCAAATCTGAGCCTGTGTTTGTGAAAGTCTCTCTTGCTGTGACCTGCTGCCCTTTTGTTGATTGCTTTATAATGCCATATTAATCTTTGAGAAAAGGTGTTGGAAGGATCCATCCTCAGTGCTTGAGAAACTGCATAGATTTTGGAAACATAAGTTTGTGTTAATAGYTCTGGATGAGTTTAACCATGTTTGTGTTAGCTGCAGTTTCATGGAGGAGAMATTAAAATAAAAACAATAGAATAAAGTCTGGCTTCCTGGCKGTGGTAATTTTTTATTYCCTATTTTTTGCTTTAATGTAAACYCTTCTTGCTTTCCCCAAGATGTGAAATTTCTATGTGTATGCATATAAAAGGTGTAATTTTAAAGTGAAACAATGTACTGCTACTGTAAAGCTGCTCAACTTATTTTCATAATTTGGAGGAATTTTTAAGGAGTTTTTGCTATCTTTAGAGAAAATTCCCACAACCATGTGAACAGCCAGTGTCTTCTGATTGTGATGGTAAACTGTGGTGTCTTTAACCTAGCCTGTTATAGAGGCTTGGGAAAGATCTAATTTACGGATGGATTATTTTACTGGTACTTGCTTGTGTTTTCCCTCTGAAGTGACAAACTTCCCTTTCAGAGCTGGATCTCAGGCTGGCCCCTTTGAARCCAAAATGTTACTGTTCTCCCCAGTTTGGTGCTCTTGGAGACCTACCAGTGCCACTGTGTTGAGTTTATCCAAGTGCGGAGTTTCTCAAGTGCAGATTCTCATTGCTCCTCTCTGAATTTAGTAGATCGCATGATTATATCACTGCAGTTTGGTAGTGCTGGATGCATTGGCATTTTTTTGGTAGAAAAATCTGTTTTCCTGTATTTGGTTTGTAAGTTCATGATTATGTTTTCCTCACCTGTAATTGCACTCTTTGTACGTTTTTTAACCTCTTTGCTTTGTGGGCTTCTGCTTGTTCTGCAGTTGGATGGAGAAGCAGCCTGGTTTGRGCATTGCCATGGGTGACGACTGCTTTCCTGTGCTTCCCTAGTGCTGAAGCCACCAGGATTCAATGATGGAGGCTTTGCTGGAAGGAATGCAAAGAAATGGTCAGGGGAGGTATGTATACAGCTGTACAGAGAAGTCCTTCCAATGATTTATGTGTTAACCTTTCCTCTTACTCAGAATAAATCCTCTGCTRTCAGTGAGCAGTGGCCTTCAGCTGCTGCAGAAGCCAAGTCACTGGGTGAATTTGCTCAGGTATTATAGTTTTAATTACCAGAAATTTAGTTCTGCGTCTTCCTGAAAACCTTGCCTCTTTTTTTTCAGTGGTTGTTATAAACTCTTCTTACTGTCCAACATGAGGAGCAGTAGTAAATAGAATTGTGAATAAATATTTATTTTGTAACAGTTTTGCAAGGTTAATGAGATGTGACTTTGTTATCTGATTTCACTGAAAACATCCGATTATTTCCTGCTYGTGTTGAAACTGCAGAGTCCCACTCAGCTCTGAGGAATCCTTAATGCTCTGTCTGAGGTGAGAATCTCCAGACTTTTCAATCCCCGAGAGAGACTGTAGTGACAATAACACTACAAAATGTTTTATGTGTTAAACAACCGTGAAGCAAAAGTCACCGATGCCATTTTCCTAGTCATCCTTGAGAATGTGACTCAAATTTATTTGATACTGTATCTTCTTCMGAGAGCTGGTTGCAGAATCAAGTTTAGACTTTGCTACATATTAGCAGATGCTGTGAAGGAAATTTTCCTGCTCTGCATAATATCTGCTAATTTTTGGTTAACTCACAGGACAGGGTGAACTTCAAATGTGACTGATTTTGGCTCCTTTAAGAAATGTTTCTTTTCCTATAGCAAACCTGCCAAGTTGTGAAGTGTGCATATGCCCTGGGGGAACAGAGAAATTTCCATCCCTTAACCTATCGATTTCCATTTCTTTTCAGTTCTTCCAGTTTGACAGGCAAATTAAAGGGGTAAAGATTGTTATGGAGTTCACTACCCTCTAGGGCTGTGTCTGGCAAACCTTAATATTGTCCCTGTCTTGGCAGCTTGGGAAGTTTTAGAGGAGTTTCTTGAATTGGCTTCAATAATTACTGCACCAAATTAGAAATCTGGGCATCGCTAGGGAGCTTGTGCTCCCCGATGGATTGCGAGGGTTTGATTCTTCATTATCATGTTGTCATCCAGCCCCCTCTGCTTCAGGSTTTGTCTGCATTTGTGATAAACTTCTGTTTTCGGCAGCTCATAGCTTGGCTGTAAGATTCCTCTGGTGACTGAAATGTGCTATGAAATGCCTCTGCCTGGAGAGCAATTAAGGCAATACAAAATATGAATTAAGCATCCTTTGGTTTACTTAGATAATGCATAGTACCCAAGGCAAGGGGTGACTGCCTGAGTGTGGAATGATGTGGTTTAGTGGGCATGGATGGTATTGGGTAAGAGGTTGGACTTCATGATCTTGGAGGTCTTTTCTGACCTTAATGATTCCRTGATTCTATTTTTGTGCAAGCYMTTTTAAAGAGAKTTCAAAGMACTGTGTGTGCAGAGTTGGTGCCTTGGTGCCAGTCAGTGTGTTCTGCTGCCTCTACTGGTTTGGGACATGAGACATGTTGGGTGGGACCTGCTCTGTAACTCTGGGCTCTCTCCCTGCCAGTGGTGGGTTCCTGACCTCCTGTGAGGCTGAGCTGCAAGAGCTGATGAAGCAGATTGACATCATGGTGGCTCACAAGAAATCCGAATGGGAAGGGCAGACACAGGCTTTGGAAGCTTGTCTGAGTGCTCGGGAGCAGGAACTTTCCTCTGCCAAGGCAGCTCTGCAGGAAAAACAAAAGGAGGTACCTTGATTTCATACTATCTTTTGGTGGGAGTCAGCTSTGTGTTCTACTGTTAGAATCAGGAAGTCAGGAACAGAATTTTTAAAGGACCTGTTGGAACAAGGTGTCTGGTTCATAATTCAATCAAAGTCAAGTGATCAGCTCCCCTAGAGTTGGTGGAAGTCCATATATTGAACTATAAGTGTTACTAGAGAGGGCCCAGAGATGCTGGTTCTGGCTGCAGCAGTAAGGGACAGCCCAGCAGCCTGCAGTCAGTGGTAGAAAAAAACATTTCCTACTATAAACTGCACCAGGAAAACTATTTCCTACTATAAACTGCACCATGATATTGGTGGGAAACTCTCCACAGGCTGTTTTACAGAGCTCTGGTTTTGTGGTCTTTAGTTAAAAGCCTGAGAGGAGTGCAAAAAATTGTGTATTGGTGGAAAACTATCAGTGAGGGAAGTTTTTGCACAGGATATGGACCATAAACTGCAATTGAGTCACAGGATTTTCATTTGCACCACTGTAAGTGGTGATTTTTATCATATAGATTATTGTTGTTATTATCAATTATGTTTKCACAAGACACTTGAAATGCCTCTTACCACCAAAAACAAACATGGATTTCAAAACTGGACTTTAAAGTATATTTGATGTCATTGCTGGAGTCTGTTCATTTTGATTTAGTCATAGAGATTTTCTGTGGGTTTTCTTTTAATTTTAATTTGTCGGTTTGTGACCACTCGGGTTGTGGATGGGAAAAAGAGGGAAGGAAAAATAATGAAGAAAAATGAGTCACAGGAGCAGCTGAAACAGTGTCAGGGTAGTCTTTTCTGTGAGCTTCAAAACCCCATTTTCTTTCTCCTTGTTTTTTGGAATCTCTGCTTTGCCTGAGCATAGTAAGATAATGACATGGCCAACTTTTCTCTTGAYAGCTTGAAATAATAATGCATGTTTGTGAAGAACTTGATGAAAATACTGGATAGAAGTAAGCTTTTGGCACAAACCAAATCTGTCAGCTTTGTCCCAAAAGTAAAATCCACAAACTGGCTCAAAACAAGAGGCCAGACCAGAAACAATTTGGCCCCAACCTACCAAAGATTTAGGCACAGCCTCAATCTATTTCATAATGAGGGATCCCATTGAAATTTTCAGGTGCCTCCTGACAATAAAGCCTGCTTCTGTTGTATTTAATTGCTTTTTATCCCTTTGTCCAGGTTGGCGTGTTGCGTCGCCAGGTCGAAGATGTAGAAAAATCCAAGCAGGAGATGGTTAGAGAGTATGAGCAACAGCTGAAGAAATTCCAGGAGGAGGTGAGTTGGTTTTTACTTCCCAGTTGATGACAGGTCAAATACTTTGCATCATTGTTTTTGTTCCAATGCTGTGGTTTTAAAACTCCCCATTGCATTAAGTGTTTGTGTACTTATAAAAAAAGCATTTAGCATAGATTTTTTTAGCATAGAACTTTTRTGGCTCACTTGGCCTGTTTTTTGTGCTTTGGAGGATCTTGGTGACAGACAGAGAGCTGTTGGAGTAGAAATTTTTCATATGTTGGACATCTGCAGAAATTTACTGCAAGAATGTCCTATRTTTGCACATCCCAATCACCACAGTGCTGGTTCTGGAGCTGCCACAGGTACAGGCAGCAGCAGTTTACTCCTTCAGCATTTCTGAAATTCAGAGAGGATGGAACTGTAACTGGCCTGGCCCATGCAAGATCAGGAAATAACAGTGGTATGTGGTCTCATCTTTTTGTTCTGTTGACACTGATGCCTTTAGTGGGGATTTTGTACTCTCCAGGAATAGTAGTATTATAACCTTCATAAAAACCAGGTGTACTTAGAAAATGCTGTTTGACAATACTATCAGAGCTTTCATCTCAAAGCCTTTTGCTCAGTGCAAGGTACCTGTCCTGCAGGTGGTATAACAGCATTCCAGGTTTATGTCTGAACTCTTTGCCTGTCCCCACTTGCCAGCAGCAGGGAGTCAACTGGCATGAGCAGCTCATAGAGCACTGACCTGTTTTCTCTGGAGGGCTGGGCCTAGTTCCTGCTCACTGTAAGCCAAAGTGAAATTAATTGGGTAGTCTCTGCTCCGATGACAGAAGCATCTTTTCTCATTTAAAAACACCTTGCTATTCCATATGACTAACAGTCTTCATTCACTGGGTGGTCTCACTGGAATTGTGGATAAGCTGCAAAGCAAAGCTGAGGTGCATTGGCAGATCAGCCTAAATTGCTAGAGCTGAAATACAGCCTGTGTGTTGTGACCTAAATTGCAGTTAGTGGGTATTTTACCCACACAGTATTAATGCTGATGACATTGAGCTCCAATATTCCTCAGTCTTCTGTTCTTAGTACTGTTTGGGGAAATTATTTCTGTCTCTGTTTACCACCATTTCCAGTGCAATTACAGGTACAGTGTCTAACTCACTGAGACTGTTGAAAGAATAAACCTCTTATCTCCCAATATGTTTGGCAAAAGGTGTTGGTATTAACTCTAAGCCTGAACATCTGTCTGTTCCCATTGAACACACCTAAATACTGAATACGTCAGGTCTTGAATCAGATATATTTTCTTCTCATGGTCCTTTACTTCATTCATGGACTTGGCTTTGTCCATCAGTAAAACAGCAGTGACAGCTTCTCAAATTGATGTGGCTATTTGGAAACCTTGTATTTAATAGTTGAGTGGGGGGTAGCTCATCAGATGAGAAATTCTCTGCAAGTTCCAAGTGATTATTTGCACGGAGGGTCATTAAAATGTCAAGAGTTTTTTCCTCATTCCTGCTTCTGATACGACTTCAGCATCCTAGCAGCAGGCGTAGGAGTGATATTTTCTGTTGGCATTCTCCACTCATTGTGAAATRCACCGTGTATCTAAGCAGAAAATGACAAATGAAAGTGGTGTTGATATTATGGGTAATGGCAATTCTCAAACCTTCTTTCTCCCACTAAGCAGGAGAGTTCCAGTTCCCACCTGAGCTGCACAAACATATTTTGATCCTACAAAATGTGTSGTGTGGTGGGTGTGCTCCTGTGGGTGAGGAGATCAGCCCCAGGCAGTGCTGGCTCTTCCTGGGGCTGGGAACCCCCTGTGGAGAGGGCAACGCTGTGCTCTTGCTGCTTTGACAGCTGTGTGCAAACCTCCATCTTATCAATATTGCAGTCATGTTTTGGTTGTGGTATGACAGAGCTTTAATTAAAGCTGCTGATGTCATGACTTCAGTGGCGTCTTGCTACTCTCATAGAACTCGTGTGTTTTGCAGTGCTGTTGGTATAATAGACTCATTATCCAAATGGGAGCCTTCACTTGGGAGCTGTGTGGCCTTGATGAGGGGATTGTTTGTGAAGAAGTTTGTGTGTGTTCTTTCAGARGGCTGTGTGATTCTTGCCTTGGGGCCTTGAGCAAAGCTCTCTCTTTCACTGTATCCTGCAGTTGTCCCGGCTGAGGAGGAGCTATGAGAAGCTGCAGAAGAAAAAAACAAGAAGCAGAGTAGAAGCTRGCAAGGGACAAGAGGAGGACAAGTTTGAATTGAGCCGATTGACCAGGAAGCTGGAGGTGCTGAAAAAGCGAGTGCTGACCAGTTGTGTGCATTACCTGACTGCCTGGGCTTCACTGGTGACTGAGCWGTCCCTAGGAAGTGGGCTGTGAGTCCTGCTCAAGGAGCACTGCCCATCCACTCTCCAGGTGCAGCTCTTCTCTGCTGCATGTGTAATAAAGGCAGTTCCCTGTGCTGGGGCCTCTGAGTGCACAGCATAAACCTTAATGCTCTTCTTACCCTTACASTAAATAACAGGAAGAAGGTGCTGGAAGAGTAATTATGTGAATGGAATGAATTCCAGTGTGGGGAGGTTGTGTTCTCACTTCTTTGAGGAGGAGGGAGCTACATGTCAAACTTCTTCTCAACCCTGTCTCATCTTCTAATCTTCCTGCTCTKCTGAGCTCAACCCCACTCAGTTTTCTCTTCCTGAAAGATATGGTAACACCACACACCTGACTGATATAGTGCCTGATTTCTGGGGCAGACATTAGCAGTCAAATTCTGTATTTAATTCATGTCATCTTGGTGATTTCAATAGCAGCATGTTTTGGAAGYTAAAGCTGGTGTGAATTTTTAGACCCCTGACAGCAAACCCATGAAACCAGCCATGAATGTGTCGGCACTTAACGTTTGAACGCAGCGGGCTCGGTGTGTGGGGGCTCTTTGCTGCTGAGTGCTGTATCAGGTGCCTGGCTAATGGTTTCCCTGCTGGGGGAAAGATGAGAGGGCATGATGGGAGAGAAGGCAGATGTGGATGGGAACTGGAAGGGGATGTACTGCTCCAAGGCACCCCTGCTCTCCTTGCAGGAGTTCCGGCAGAAATCACTTGACTGGGAGAAGCAGCGCCTGCGCTACCAGCAGCAGGTGGCATCACTGGAGGCGCAGCGCAAGGCTCTGGCAGAGCACTCTGAGCTCGTGCAGGTACCGTGAACATGTCTTCAAATTCCTGCTTTGTTTGTGGGAGGGAGGTGGGGGGAAGAGGGAGAGGTTCTTGACACCTCTCAGACTCTCATCCAGTTCAGATTGCCATTGAAGTGACTTTTAACATCTTGGATGAATAAGGGTTATGTGTACAAGTGCTGTATGGAAAAAAGATCTGGGATCTGTCATCAGAGATTAGGTAAACCTTGTGCAGCTCTCCCTGCCATCCCTCTGCTTAGCAGAGAAGACAGTAGGATGCAGATTTCSCTGGGAGGCAGAGTCCACAGCACATGACACTTTAAAATAGCTGTTACATCATGTTGTCTAGTTGAAAGCTGTCTACTTGCCAGCAGCTAAATAAGTACTTTGTGGGTCCAGCTCAGAGGGTACTGTTGGACAATGGTCCTCCCCTATAACAGAGACTTCCACAAAGCACTGGAGTAACAGCAGTTTTCAGCCCCCCACCCCTATTTTTGAGTCTCAAAGGCAAGTAGTGGTGGGGCTGCTGCTGTGCAAAGCTGATGGCTCWGTGAATTTGTGGTACTGCAGAAGAGTGAGGTGAATTGACCTAGAGCACAGCTGTGGAGTCACACAGATGCAATCACAGCAGACACTGATAAGAAGCTCTTGCTGGGGACTTTGCACTTAATGGGCTCCTGAGTTGCTCTTGAGTGGAAGCTCCTGCAAGGAGGGAGACTGCGATGACAGGATTGAAACTGCCTCTGACAGGGCCTTTGTGAGACGCTGACACCAGGAGATCTACAAATGCAGAGAGAGTCCTTGAGCAGAAGGTCTTGCTGCACTGCTGTCTCTGTGTCATTGATAGCTCAATTGTTTGGGAACAGATGTGTCCTTGGAGCTTGGGCTGGGACACTGGCGCACAGAGGAGCTTGTCTGACTGTGCAGCAGAAAAGCAGGAGGTTGGGGAGGTGTTCCCAAAGCAGTGTGGGTGCCTTAGGTGCACAGRACTGTGATCAGACTGCCTGAATCCTCAACTGCTTTGGAAAGCCCAGCATGGAAGTGCTAAACTTTTTGCCTTGGATGTTTTTCTACATTTTATGTTTTTGGTTGTCTTTCTAGCTCARGGTCAAGCTGAGATCCATGACCACTGAGTATTTCCCCTCTCTTCTTTCATGTAGCTTGCCCTCATCCCTTGCAGAGCAGCTCAGGGAAGCCTGGAATTCTTTCCCAGTAAAGTCTACCTTCTAGAACACCTGCAGCCTTTAAAKTCAGCAGGTGAAACCTGGAATTCTCTGCTGGCCTGCCTGTCGTGTGGCTGGAAATAAGAGACAGCTTAAGTGTTTTCTTAATGCAGAAATAAATATTCAGGCAGTCTGGTACTTTGGTTTCTTGGGTAAAGAAATGCTGTGCTTTAAACTCTTTCCCCTTCTGATTGCCTTTTCTGTCATGACTATTCAAATAATAATACAAGCCTGTAATCAAAACTATACCATAGCCTTGCAAATGAGCAGTTCTTATAGTTTGTGTAAATCAAGGCATGTRGTGATTCTGAAGCTGCCAGGCATTGGTACTCTTTGAAACTGGGAATATAAGACTGCTCAAATATTTTGTTTCAGCCTTTAAAAATTCAAAGGTTGTRTACAAAAAGGGAATATATGCAGTGAATGTTCTTAGCAGCTTATGTGAGAGCTGGCTTGTTAAATTTCACTGGCTAGCTGTGTGGAAGRAAATGCTATGAAATAGAGTATTGTGCCTATAAATAATAGAGCATGTATTGTCTGCTACTCGTACATTCCTTGTAACTTTTTAGTCTGCCATTAAAACACTGAAAAATTCWAAGTGAGCATTCTCCCAAGCTGCTGGAACCAGGTATTTACTGCAGAGAGCAAAGCAAATTGGCTGTTACACTCTGTTTTGGGGCTGTTTGCTGGTTGTGGTTTTTCCATTGTGCATCCAGAGCTGCTTTCTGTCCTGGTGTGGCTTAATGGTTGGGTAAGCTCTGCCTTGTGCATGGTATTTACAAACATTTTTACCTGCAGCTGATTGTCCTGGTCTAGCCTTGGACTCATGAGCAAAAATAGCAAAGGCTTTGTTTTTGGACAAATCGTACTGAGGCAGCTGGAGTGATTTGAGATCCTTGTTTTACAGATTCTCTTTGAATTGCTTTTGGAATCAAGGGCACCTCTTTTTTTCTTTTTTCTTTTTCTTTTTTTTTTTACTTACTCTGTTTGCCTTTGGAAGTTTTTACCCATCATGTAACCATGGAGCAATACTGTCCCTAATTCCCTGGAAGGTATCGTTGCTCACTCTGAGAATGTGGCTCATTACACCAAGCAGTCAGTAGTTGTGTGGATGTAGTTTTGGTGTACCTTTGGTGCTTTTGCAGTTTAGCTGTAATGCAGTTTAGCTTTTTGCTGTGTTGAATGTAGTTTTGGTGTACCTTTGGTRCTTTTGCAGTTTAGCTGTAATGCAATTTAGCTTCTTGCTGTTGGCAGACCCAGCTGGCCAATCGGAAGCAGATCCTGGACTCGGTGGAGCTGGCGAGCCGCTCAGAAATCCAGCACTTAACCAGCCGGCTGGAGAGGGCCAATGACACCATCTGTGCCAACGAGCTGGAGGTGGAGAGGCTCAGCATGAGGGTGGATGACCTCAGTGAGGACAATCGGATGATTCTGGAGGATCAACAGAGAGTTCAGGAAGAGTTAAGGCATTCTAAGAAAATGTTAGAGGTCAGTGAAGGAACTCCTAGCAAAAGAGTTTAAAGCAGTGCTGGTGAGAAGGAGCAGGAAGGCTTTTCATTCCAGAGTTCTTGTCCCCTTCTAGAGCCTTTCTGAAGTTCCTGATTGGCCTTAAAATTGACTTTGTACTCCTGTGCTGCTCTGCAGTATTTCCMAGGGTCCTAAAAAATCTGATTAACCTCTCATCTCATTACAACAAACCACGTTAGTCCATCTTGCAACAGTCACACYTTCTGCCTCCCATGCAGGTGCTGCAGGATGAGAAGATGGAACTGAGAGCCACCTTGCAGTCTCAAGAAGATTTTATTGGCAGCACCAAGCTGCACCAGGAACAGTTACAGAAAGAGCTGGCCAGGATGACTGAAACTCTTCGCACAAAAGAATTCCTCATCAGGTAGCATCCGTGCCTCGCTGGTTCTTTGGCTCTTGAATCCAGATCTGTATTCCAGGTTCTCCCACTGAGGACAGTGGTAGCATTTTCATGCAGCTGGATCTGTACTGGTTTTATTTAGAATAGTGCACTGTAGTTTCTCATAAGCATGGTTCTGCCGTGCAGTATTTTTCAATTTGCATTGTTCTTGAGATTAGGAGATGGTAAGTGAAGAGCATGGACCGGGTTTCTGGAGGCAGCACAGGCTTTTGAGTCTGTTTCTCCCAGGCATTTTCAGCCAAGTGCTGGAGACCTTTCAAAGTTTGATAGGATGCTTATTGACCTGGGTGAATGTTCTCACTGACTGGGGCTTGGTGAGGTAACTACATCTGGGACAAAATCATCTTGRCCTTCCCTTCTGCCCTGGCAGTGTGCAGAGGCTCTTAGGTTCTGGTGGCTGTGTCAGAAGGTTTGGGTGTTGGTCACCTACAGTCTCTGGCAGGGAGGCCAACATCAAAATAAAATGTAGCATTTTTGAATCAGCCTGAACTCAAGCAGGGGCTGTACTCCAGATGCTGTGTTTGCTTACTCCGACAGCACACAGCCATCACCTGCTGTTGGGTTCGGTGTGTTTTTCAGAGAATTCCAAGAGAACAGTGGTTGTGTTCCCTGCACCAGTGAACTCAGAAATGAAGTTTCTGTGCTGAGGTTAAAGCTGCTGTTTCTGTTAGGGCCTTGGAGGAGCGCTTGCAGGGGAAAGTGTTGTCCTCTCCGGGGCTGGAGATGGAGCAGGTGCTGCTGCAGCTGGATATTGCCCAGAAGAAGGAGCAGCACTTGCAGTCAGAGGTGACTCGTCTCGAGAACAGGTAATCAGCCCAYTGCATGCTCCTTCTGGAAGTGCAGTTAGTCTTGGGTAATAATAATGCAACACCTGATTGTGTTCATCAAGTTAACCAGTGATTCTTGTAGGCTTGTCTTAAATATCAAAGGGCCAAAGGAATCAAGTGCAGTTCATTTTGTATTTTAATAGTGACTACTTTGTAAATTGGTTGGCTGCCTTTTGCTGCACACTGGGTGTTCTCAGAGTTCCAGCTTGCTTAGGCTGAGCAGCTTCACTCCTCATAGGCTCAGGAATCTTTGTGAGGCAGCTGCTAAGAACCATGTCCAGACCTTCTTGTCAAGTGAGCATTATAAACAAGTCTGCCCAGAGAGGTTGTGAACTGCCCATCTCTAGAGRTGTTCAAGGCCAGGCTGGACGGGGGTTGGAGCAACCTGATCTTCTGGGAGGTGACCCTGGCCATGGCAAGGGGTGGAACAAGTTTATGGTCCCTCCCAACATGAAGTGTTTTGTAATTCTATGATTCCTCTCCAAGTTTGCAGTTTTCAGACTTGTGTTTACACAAAAATTCTGTAATCTTAGTTTGTAAAGAGATGAGCAAGAAACAGCTGTTATCTGTTAGATCAGCTTCCCGATCTCTTGTGAAATGATTTTAGAAAGCAAACCCAAAGGATTGGTAAGGARCTTGTAGGCTGAGTTCAGTTTCTGTTGTAATGGACATAAAGGACTGCCTGAAAGATCAAAGTTTCTCTGACCATTTCCTCCTCCTTGAGTTATTCTAATCCATACTTTTGCATTTGGCACCCAGCCTGGTGTCTTCAAATGCCAGGTGTGTGCAGCTGAGTGAGGAGCTGGGTGAGAATATCAAAGAGCTGCAGTCCCTGGAAGAAGACCAGACTGAGTCAAGGGCAGAGATTAAAAAGGTACCATGGCTTTGTTGCTGGGGAGGGGGATGGYACTGGTGGGGTGAGCTGATCCCTCAGCTGGGGCATCAGGACAGGGCTGCTGGGCAGGCAGGGATGTGCTGGAGGTGAGGAGCACACCTGGCAGAGGAAGGGTTGGGAGGATGTGTTTGCAGGTGTCTGAACTTGGCCYTGTGAGCATCTCCTGGGCCTCCCCCAGTACTTCTGTACACTGTGGAGATACTTGAATCAGTGCTGGAGGGCAAATATGTGAAGAAATTAAGGTCAGAAATCCTGAGTTTAAGCCTAATACAGGCCCGAGAGGGTGAAGAGCTGAGAGGGAATGAGTTTGCTGTAATATGTCCTGTCCCAATTGAGACAGGACTTCAGCTATGTCCTGGTCCCTGTGTCAATAAGAGATTGTGTCTCAGGCTTGGTAGCTGGATGTGAGGGCAGGGGATGGGAGGAAAGGAGCAGCTAAGCTGCCTCCAGGGACTCACCCAGAGTTCTGAGCACCCAAGGRGGGCAAACCCTCCATGAGCTTGACTTTCCACAATGGTCTGTATCAGGTTGTGTGAGAGCTTTCCCTGGAGCCTGCTAGAGTGGAAGCCTCATTGAACCTGAGTGAAGAACCTCACTTGTGTGGAAATCTTTCATCCTTTATTCTGAACGTACAGGGGTGCAGATCTTGCCAGAGATGTGTGCTTGGTTACACATCTAAACAGCCACACAGTAAATGAATCTCCCACAGGCTGCTGGGGAGGAGGGAGAGATTTATGAAGGCTGTTTCTGTTTTATATACTTGGGAGGCATTGAGGTGACATGGARATAAATCACCATGTGTACAGTATTTACATGGGTAGGCAGAGATCATCTGGTTCAATTTTCTAAAATGCTTATAATTCTCAGAAAAATCCTGGGTGTTTGGGTGGTTAATATTTCTGACTAATGGAATGGAGTCCTGGGGAAGGAATTACGCTGCTGTTTTTCTGTCATGCCACTGAATAAATATACAGTGTGCCTAGCAGAATATTGTAYGTGGTGCAGGTCTGCCACCTCAAAAGCATTGAATAAACCAAGATAAGGTATGGAAAAAGGTGACCAGAAGGATGGAGTGKTTTTTGTACAAGGAACAGCTGAATGGAATAGGACTTACYSAACTGGAAAAGAGATAAATGAGATTGAATGGACTAAAAATAAAATCATGTCTGTCATGTGGAAAGTAAATAGGGAATGATTATTCTCTCATAATGCAGGGACTAATGGTCATCACCCAGAGTTATGAAAACAAAGAGATGTATTTTTACCGCGTGCATGGCTGGCTGGTGGAAGTTTGCCATGGGAAGCTTTAGTTGCTACAAGCTAATATCAATTCAAAAGACTTAGGGCAAATTAATTCCTGGAAGAAAAATCTGGCTYGAGCTATTTAAAGTTACCATCTTTAAATGGTATCTTTAAATACCTCAGGAAGGCAGARTGGCAAATTGCAGGGTTATATTTTCCAAGAGTTACTGTGCTTCCCCAGACATGGGGAGCCTTTGGCTCTCCGGTTTTGGCTGTGGAGGCTGAAATGATGAGSTGAAGAGGCTGTTGGCTTGATGGGTCTTCTCAAGTACTTCATGGCATGGAACTTCTTTCCACTTGGCAGTGTGTGGTGTGGAAAAGAATTGGGATGAGGTGGCTTTCAATCAGGAAGGACAGGCATGTGCAGAGGGTTTGTTAAGTAGAGCTTTTTGTTTTCCAGGACTCAGAGTTCACATTACCATATGCAATACTTTTGATTTTTATGCTGAAACATGTTTTAAAAGCTCGTGGGTGGTGTGTGCATGTCTTCCTCCAGCTGAAAGAGCAGCTCTCCCAGGCTGAACAAATGCACAGCAGCGAGCTAGAAGGGATGAAAAGGGAGATCTCCAGGCTGACCCAGGAGCTGCAGCAGCGGGACATCATCATCGCATCGGCGAGCGGCTCTACCTCGGACCTGGAGCAGCAGCTCAGGGCAGAGATTGAAAGAGCAGAGAGGAAAGCAGTGGAGCACAGGGTAAAAAAGGGACACTACTCTTATGCTATCTATTTAAGGGATCTGAAGGCTTGGAACACCATCCTGCTTTTAGCTACWTTAGTAGTTCCCTTCTCTCTTTAGCCTCTGTACAAAAACTTGGAGACCTTCTGATGAAATCTCCTGATGATGGTGTTCACTGAATCTGTCTTGGTGCTCAAACCAACARCTCCCAGACTCACAGAATTCTTTGGGATCACTCATGCTAACTACGCCAGGACAGATGACATCTTTGAAAACTGTGCATGGTTATTTTTGCAGCCTTCTCTGTAGGGTGCCYGCACAAACCTTGCTCTGTACTTGAATTTCGGGATCGAAAATGCTTGGAGAGTGTTKTGGGTGTGTATTGTATTCTTTTTCTGAGTTTGTTGTTTGCCTCTGTCTCCTCAGGTAATTCTGGTCCAGCTGGAAACCTTGAGGCTGGAAAACCGTCATCTCTCAGAGATTCTGGAGAAAACAGAGTGYGGTAAGCTGAAGGTATGCACTGAGGGCCAGGAGCTGGGAAGGGGYTAGCCTTGTGTTCTGGCCTGGGAACAGTCAGAGTCTTTACCCAGGCCTCTCAGAATTGGGATAGAGCTCAGTGAACTTAAAACCCCAGCAGAAGGGRCAATTTGAGAGGAAATAAGGTGCAGAAATACCAAGCATTTGTTCAGTCATAGAGTGGTGAAGAGAACTGCAGAATCAGCCATCATCTCTACTTCTTCTCCRTGTTTTTTATTACATTTTACTACATTTCCATTTTATGCCAATTTATCTCAAACCTGTGATTCTCAACCCATGACATCCTTTTGACCTATCCTAGAGCTGTAACTTCTCTGGTCTTTGGAATATTAGGGGTGAGAGTGTGTTCTCCCTGCTGAGGAGCCATTCAGCAGGGCTGTGCCTTGCACTCCATGGGCAGGCTGCACTGGGAATGTGGGCTGGGTTCCTTGGGACAGAGTGCTGTGACCAGCTTTTGCAGCTGAGCAAAATCTCCAGAGCTCTGCAGGCCGGGGGGCAAAGGGAAGCCTGCCTGGAAGAGGGCAGCCTTGCAGAAATAATACTGTGGAGTTGACTCATTTTGGGAAGGAGGAAGTGGCTGTCTCACCTAAAGCAGAATGGATGCTTCCCAGGGGGCAAGGGCTGGATTCAGGCAGCTGACAACATAATGGGAATATATCAGTGCTTTTATCCTGTCAGATCTCTGGGAAGGAAATACTCAGCTCTTAGTATTAGTTTGGGGTGATTATCAAATGTGCCAAGTTCCTGGGAAAGTGTTGAACAGAAGCTTGTGGCTGGTGAGATGGAGAAAAAACAGCTTTCTGGAGGGCTGACTTGAAACTGAAATAACCCAAGGCCCATTACTTTGTGCTTGAAAAGTGCCTGGTAGCTTTTGCCTTGTGTGAGTTCCCAAAAAAGTGCTAGTAGAGTGCAAAGCRTGAAATCTGCCTTAACAAAAAGCCCCACAGCCCCAAGGCAGAGGAGCTGCATCTTGGCCAGGTGGGCCCAATGCACATTTKGAAAGGCCTTAGATACAGCAGTGATGAGAAGGAATTAAGCATCTAGGTTTAACAGAGCTGTCAGAAGGAAAGTGGGAATGTCACAGGAATGGAAGCAATGGAAGTTATACCCACCTGGCCTCRTAAGAAGAAGCTGGCAAGAAACAAGTTGCTCAGAGTTTCCAAAAGAAAGACCAGAGGCAGGTGCATCGGAGTTGTCCTGGGTCTGGGTTCTGCAGTTTTGAAAGGAATCCAGTGGTGAGAGAGGCTGATTTTGCCATGCAGTTCAGCATATTGGGTCTGGATGCAGGCCAGTAAGGCAGATATGTCATTCATTTAGGAAAGTCCTGAAGGTTTTGCCAGTCAAAATGAGATGTGAGGATATGCCTTAAGGAATCTCTTGCTTGTCTTTGCTCTGGATGTGACTGTGGTGTCTTGCAAACCAGAACTTTTGACTTCTGCCCTTCTTTGTCTGTTAGGGGGATGATGGCACCCTGAGAGCCCTCAGGAAGGACTATGCTACCGAGCTCCAGAAATTGGTGTCTGAGAACCAGCAGTTSCGGAAGGAACTTGCAGAGACCAGGGCGAAACTGAGGGCCACTGCAGAGCTGTGCCTGGCTGAACCTGAGGGCAGTGCTCAGCAGGGGCAAGGCACAGAGCCCACGGATGCACAGCACAGGTGAGGGACCCCAGGGGGCTGCTTCCTCAGAGGCAAGGAGAGCAAAGGTGTGGGGGTGTGGGGGGTTAATGCCATGCTGTGTCTGGGACAGCACAAGGACTCTTTGGGGATCTGCCTTGATGCCTTAAGCAGTGCAGGAGCTCTGAGTCCCAGCTGGTTTGTGTTCTGCAAAGCCAGCAGTGTTTGTCTTTTGTGTGCCTGTGCCTTTGCCTGTCCCTGGCRCAGCAGGCTGAGCTGGTTTTGGTGGCAGGATTAGCTGTGGCCCAGGCAGCTGATCTCTGTCCTGTTGCTCTGCTGGGATGGGCAGGCTCTGGGGTTTGGTGTCTACAGTAGCAGAAGAGAGAATTTCATAGGGACTGGATGTGAGTCTGGAAGTGCTATGGAATTTTGATTGCCAGGGCTGTTGGTAACATCGATGGTAATTGTTGCTTCTGTGTGAGTTTCTGAGACAAATTCAGTTTGTGCTCAAACCTGCCTTCCAGGACAGCTCAGGAAATGCAGGACGAGCAGGGTGAATGCACAGAGAGGACACATCTCCAGCCTGACAGGACTGCTCAGCATCTTCACAGGGAGCCCCAGAGGGGTGGGGCTGTGGAAACAGGACCTGTGAGCCCTGAGATGGGTGAGCCACCCTCCCACAGCAGCAGTGAGACCTGCAAGGAGTCATGTGCCTGGTCGGGAGCAGAGTCTGTGCTCCACGTGGTGGATGAATACAAAGATTTTGCAGATGAAGCATCCAAACAGCCTGCCTCAAATCATCACAGAGAGTCTGGGTCTCTGGTAAGCAGTTGTACAGGAACTAGCTGCTGCTCAATAGCTGAAAATAGACCTGGGTTCTTATCTGACAAAAGAGACAGGCTTTTGAATGTATGACCTAACTCCATGCTGGGTGCGATCCTGTGAGCATAAAGGGAGGGAAAGCCACTGCTTCATGGTTAACACTTGGCCAGGAGGATCCACGTGGTGGCTCTTCAGAACTCCTGAAGGGCTTTGTGCTTTGTCCTCRCTAAGCTGATTCCAGGAGCTCATGGGTCTCTCTGCTGATGGTATACCTCAGTGTGTACTGCACCTGCTCTTGTGCCCTCAGAACCGTGCTTCAGCTGTTGGCCTGGGTCTCTAGTGGAGGCTCAGAGTGGATGTGGAGAGCTGWGTGTGGTAGTATTTCTCACTGTCTGTGTGACTGTTTGCTGCATGTCTGTGAAGCACAGAGTGGGTTTGACCYCTCTCAATGCAGCTGCAGCAGTCAGCACACTGAACTTAAACTTCTTGTGCTTGCTGATGGCAGMGTCTGAAATTCCTGCTTCACAGCACAATGGGAGCCTGCTCTTTCTCCCAGTTGCTGATGGTCCTTTTTTCATAGAGAGCAATGTTGGCACTTTCCCTGTCCTTCTGCCTCAGCTCAGTTGCTGAAGCACTTGACCAAGAGACAGAAAATTTGCACTGCATCACTTCTTGCTGTCATGTTTAGGGAGGGGAGAATGCTGAGCACTGGTCCTTGCCCCAGATGTGTTGCCCAGCAGTGTTCAGAGCAGTTTCTGCTCTGTTAGTACGTTGGTAGCAGTGACAACTATTAAACTGTTAACTATCTTTTTGTGGGAGTCCAGAGAAGAGGCTCTAAGGTTGATGCACAGATAAGTGGAGGCTTATCACGTTTGTGGATCTTGAGGAGGTTTACTACCAAGAATAGGTCTTGGTTGTTTCAAGACTAAAGTTGTTTGTGCACTTTATATCCAGAAAAGAGTGTTGGGAGCTTAGGGAACTGCAGTATTCTGAATGGAAACTCTTCAGGTTGCAGGATTGGACCTAAAGTGTGAACAGTTCCACTTCAGGGTCTGAGAAGCTCTAGGGCTTGATGTTTAATAGAAGAGAATGGGCTGCTTTTTGTTCTGAGAGGTAGAAATAAGGTTTCTGAGGAAATGCAGATTATTTCTTCTGGGTTGACTGGGACTCACTGGAGCCTGACCATGAGCAGGGTCTTTAATCAATTCCTTTAGCACTAAAAGGGGAGAACTCTCATCAGTAGGCAGTGGGATGAGAGGGATTTGCTTGTTATCTGTAGCCTTTTCTGTTTCCCTTTGTTCCTGTCAGCTTATACAAGACCTGAAAACCACGAGACTCCAGGATTTGGAAGTAACCAGTTACTTGCTCTTGCCAAGACAGAGGCAAATTGTCTGTATTGGAAAGCAGCCCCTTAGTAACCTTAATATTTCACGTGCCAGCCCCTGTGCATGAGGCTTCTCTTCATCAACTTGTCCATTAAGCCTGGTTCCCAGTGTTGTTTTTGTAAGTTAATAACTTGTGGGTCAGTGGTGTGAGGAGCAGGAATAGTTGTTGACTGTAAAGGAAAGAATCTGAGTGCTTTGTTGACCATTGCTGGCTGGACTGAACTGCTGTTCCGTGAGCTGCAATGGGAGTGTGGTCTGTACTTGTCTGTGGGGTTGTACCAGGAACCCATTATTTTGGGGAAGAAGAGGAGGTATGTGAGAGAAAGCAGAGATATTCCCAGTGTGGAATATCTGGTGAAATAATTACCAGTCTGGCTGTGCTTTCCCTTCCCTGGACCCAAACCCTGAGGTGCTCCCGCTCACTGAGATGTTTGTGGAGGCAAGGAGCAGGATGTAGCCCACCCYTTGGTGTTCTGTACTGATCTTCTCTAGCCCTGCTTTTTCAGCAGTGATTTTTTGGCAGTGTTGGCTCAGTGCAGCAATCCCTGCTGGCTGGAGGCTGTTGGGAGGGGTGTGACCTGTGACACAGGTGTGAGACCTGAGTGCTCTGTCTGCACACTGAGATCAAAACGAGCCCTCAACAGCAGGTTCAGTTGTGTGCTTTGCAGATCAGGGTATTTCTGGCAAGACTTGGAGTGAAGGAATACCTGATAATCCTTTGTTTCCCTTCAGTGCCCCTTGCCTACAGCTTCTGTTGGATCCATAGCTGCACGATACCTGGAAGATGAAGAAGTGCGATCCCAGCACATCCTGGAGTGCCTGAATGCTCACATTGAGGAACTRAAAAAAGAGAGTGCAAAGATAGTGAGACGGTTTGAACACCAGGAATAATGTTTTTTGTGGAATTGGAATACTGGCTTCCTTGTGTGGCTCCAGACCGTGGCTGGGGAGGTGCCTACRCCCACTTGGCATTGGAGCTTGAGTGAGAGGCCGTGTGTCCCACTTGGAGCCTGAATCAGCAGGATGGGAGTTGARGAAGAGGAACTCCTCTTTATGTGCTTGCTCTGATGAAGGGTGTTACACCACAAACATTTTAGGCAGCTTGCTGTAGGTCAGAGACCTGCATCACAGCTATGTGCTCACTCACAAAGATGATGGTGTTTTGTAAAAGCAAACCATTTGCAAATTTTTATGTAAAGTATTTGAAGTATATTTTATACGTGTAAAAGTGCTGAAATAAATCAGAATGGCAAACACCTCTTTTCTTCTTTATACAAATACACAAAGTGACTCTTGTGTCTTATCTTGCCTTCCTATCAGGAACTTGGACCAACACCTTTCCCATCAGACCATAGCTATGTTCTTCAAGGAATATGATTCCTCTTTCCTTAGACTATCTGCATTTTCTCCAGTTCATTTAACCTTAGTGGAATTTCTTAATATTTCCTGGTTCTTGCAGCGTCTGTCCTTTACAGTTTATGTAGTATCTGGTGTCTTTATCTTGCCATGCAAGGTGCTTGAACTGCTGCAGAGTAGCTGAGGAGTGGCTGAATTCTGGTTATGGTCATGGCTCTTGGAAAAGGGAAATGGGAATGGGAAATGACCCTGGGTGGGAGAAGGGTCCACAAAYGGGTGAGGTTCATGCACAAACATCCTTGCAGCTGCTCTGTGAGCTGTTGCCAGCCTGCTTTGAGTCCGGGCASTCCAGTGGAACTGCTGCATTAAAATACATCTGTGACCTCTGTTGGAGGAAATAGTCATTCCTTGAGGGGAGTAAGTTGTTAACGGTGAACAGGACTTGCTTGCTATGGATTTGCTTTCTTCCAGGGACCCTGCTGTTCTCCTGGGGCTGAGTCTTCATGGCCTTCATACAGGCAAATCTTGGGATGGGGCCATCTCTTGTCCATGTCTATAAGTTTCCTGTTCCTTTCCATCAGCTTCACCWTGTCTTAGAGCAGCTTAATGCTGTCGAGGAACAAGAATTCAAAAACACCACCCATATGCAGAGCCCAAGCATTGGATCAGGCAGGTGAGTTCAGCCAAGGGGATGCTTGGCTGCAGGCTGGGGCTGCACTTGGCCATGCACCTCTGCATCCCAGAGCTCAGAAATGCCCCAATCCAACAGTCCTGGTGATTTGGCTTTTTTATGGAGCTCCTTGTATGAGGATAAAACCTTAACTCCGTTCTGGATTCTCACTGTGCAGCCTTTGTAGTGAGGTGTTGGACTGTCCCCAGCTGATGCTGGGCTGTGGTCGTGCTCTGCACAGAGTCAGCAGTGGCCTCGGATCCTTTACTGAGCTGTCTGTGGGTGTTTTTGGAACATACGCCTTGTCTGTTCAGGTCTCAAGTAAGAACTTGTTGGTCATGGGGCATTGTGATAAAATCTGAACAGCAGAATGCACCAAACTGTTCCCTCTTTGCAGATGAACCTTTAGATAGACCGAGTGTGTGATCCACCTGAGCCCCTTGGGATCCCTCATGGCCTTCAGTGATGCCACAACATCATTTTTGAAATGATACCTTGCAAATATTATTACATTTCCTGAAGAATTGTTATATTAGTTACTGAGTATGCATCATGCAGTTGGTGTTTTCAGAAATTTAGGAGACATTTTGCCTTGTTTCTGATGTTCTCTTCTATATTCCTTCAGAGACATTTGACAGTTCATTTTGGCAGAAGGGAAGAGCCTGAAGATGATCCATTTGTTTAATTAGCAGCTAAAATCCTACAGTTTTATCAATTTCTAATACCTGCAGTAAGMAGCTTCATTCAGGAGCAGACTGAAAATTTGAACCAATGTGATCTAAAGCAGAATTTTCGGCAGGGGAACTGCTGAGTTACTTCTCTGTGTTGGTGTGTATGTGCTYTGTCTTTCCCACTTCTCTCTTTGCAGATGCCCTGAGATAACTGAGAATTCTGTTCCAGAGCTGTTCTCCTGGAGTTGGAGCCTTGGCTGCTCTGAAGAATGTGCATTTTTTATGAGGGGGAGGAGAAGGAGCTGTGTTTATCCTGGAGGGAGTCGTCACAGCAAGTGCAGACTTTTGAGGTGCTTTTATCTGGGGCTGCAGGGTTTCTCAAGCATTCTCTGCCTTTGCAGTGTCAAACTTCCCTTGGAATAATTGCCTGGCCCTGGAAGCTTTATAATTAATGAAGCTGGAGAGGGGTTTTGTGCCTTTGAACTTATGCCTTCGATAGCACTGAAGAATTTCTTGCACATTTGCAGAGCAGAGTCAATGTTTGTTTTCTGTTTGAGACAAAAGTGTGGAACTTTGATAGTGATTCCTTTTGTACATCTGGAGAGTGGGAAGCTGTGCAGGCTCCATCTGTCTTCAGTGTGCTACACATGTTGTGCTGTGGGTGTGACAGTGCTTTGGGTCACTGTTTAAGTTGAGGGGATTTGGCAGATGTGTGGAATTGCAGCTGCTTGGGTTTTGCAGAGTTGGGTTGCAGGAACAGGGAATACACCCCAAGGCCGTGCTAAATAGGGGGCAATAGTATATCAACTGTCCTCTTTATTCTCTTGGGATAAGATTTAGTTCCCCCTGCCATTTTGAGAAAGAAGTAGAGCATGAGTGGCTAGAGAGAGATCTTGTGGAAGTGAGTCTTTGAGACTATTTGTAGYGGTGTCACCTGCGGAGAGGCTGTACCAAAGTGTCTGTGTATGGGGGAGTGAACATCAGATGTGTGGTTCCATGAAGGGTGTCTGTACTTCAGTATCCTTGACCCTGTTCTGTGGAAGAAGTTGTTTTCTTTAGTTCCTAAACTCTCTCGGATACCTCCTTACCCTGCCATTGTAACAAGTGACATATTTGACTGGATGAGCTTGACCTGTGAAGTGAAAGCCACTGCAGTGTGTCCTCCTTGTTCTGAAAAGTGGGATCAGAGAAAAAAGAACCCTTCTGCCAGGCACCAGAATAAACCAGGGCTATCTGTGCTGACAGACAATACTCRCTTTAGCTTTCAAGGTCCTTAGGCAATCAAAAAATCCCCGAGTCTGCCTTGCATCTGTGCTGCTCAGTCGGTGTTGATGCCCAGGGAGCGGGTGCCTGCTGGGCTCYGAGGCAGTTCCTGCGGGGAGGAGCTGCTGCCACCAGTTTTTGAGGGCAAAGACACTGAGCTGTTTAGGGGAGGATTTAAAACCTACTTTAATGCCTCGTATAGAGCCTCTTGTCTCCAAGTACAGAAAGACCCTGAAGCTTTGCTGTGCTCCCAGCTTGCCGTGGAGAAAGCCCTGTGAGCTCCCGTGCAGTGTTTGTGCCTGCAGCTCCTGTCTGCAGCAGCCTGCATCCTCACYGAGGGTGCTGATCCTGGAACCTGCCTGCAGGGACTCATCTGCTCAAATGGGGCTGCTGGTGATGCCTTAGCATTTTTAGCTTCTATATTTTCAAGTATCTGTATTCTTGTCCTTCTCTAGTGTGCAACACTAAAGCTCCTGTTCTCCCATCTTTAGACAAAACAATTCCTCTCTGGGCCTAAAATCACACTTTGCTGCCTCAGGRCCCCAAAATCTGYAAACAACAGTAAATTGTGGGGAGCAAGYTTAGGGTGGTTGACATAATCACCTGAAAGTGTYAGGAGAATTTGGKCCCAATATGYTCATAAGACAGAATTTATAAAAGGTGAAGATCTTGTGATTCAGGGTSCATTTTTGGGTGTAGCCTCAGGAGGAGRCTTTTGTCTGCCCTTAATGCACCAGTGGGCCTGGTTTAAATTTTTCTGCTTTTTTCTCTTAACCTTGTCTGGCCTCTGTTTCAGGTGAGCCTTGTTYTAGGCATCACTSGGGTGTAGGGAGTAGGAGTGAGCCTGCTGCAGGTGGGCATCCCTGTGAGTAATTCCTGCCACCCAGTCACTGAGGAGGGAACTAGCAATAACCCACCTCTTTTRTGTGAAAAATACAGCATCTTTGGAAAGAGAATTCATACTGTTTGGTCAATGAAACAGAGTGCAAAAACATAACAGGTTTATTTTCAATTCAAGCTCAAACATAATACCTCTTGGRTCATGCTAACACTCACAGACATCTGAAGCAATTACGAAAATGCTGCTCCATCTCAGGATGTGCATTGTGGTGGGATTCAGTAGAAGCCCCCCTTTGCCTTGTGCATGGAGGCATTTTCCAAAAGTACAGCACCAAATGGTTTATTACATGATAATAATGTCATTCAGCCTGCTGTCCCAYGAAACCCCGTCAGTTTATAGCTGCAGTGTTGCATAGACAGGTTGGAGTAAGGAGTGGTTTCTGAGAGCTTTATTCTCCATTTCACTGGAATTTTGGTTATGGAAACACCCATATGCTTCAGATATAATTACAGCAGAAAAAGTTCTAATATAAAAAGGTAAAAATGATTTTGTTTATTGCATTTAAGAGTCAGTGTAAAAAGTTATTTTCCAGTATCAYTGAAACCTGTAAGACAGTGAAGTGCACAAGGAAACTTCGTGTGTTGCATCTTCTTAATAACTCTTCTCTAATGTATTTTAAACTTGACTAAAGATATACAGAAACTTGGTTTAAATATCCTGAAGTTCCTCGTGTCCAATGTTGCCGCTCAAAACCAGGGTGCACTTTTTTCATCCTGCCCCATAACGAGGTGAATTCTCTTGGAGTAGCCCTTGTAAGACTTTTTTTCTGGTCCTTAGCTTGGAAATCAGCAATCCCTGCTGGCACAGAATGCCTTGCAGACAGTTGTTTTCATCTAACTATTTGTCTGGACAGTGTTACTGAAACRTAGGCAAGGGTTTTATCTCATGTCTTCCACTGCTGCTCCTTTTTTTAACAGGATTTTCTGCTTCCTTGACCACCTTTGAGCCTGTGGCTTTGCAAAAGCCTGCAAGTGTTGTTGTGCATTTGTTGAAAGAACAGATTTGTTGGAGGATGAGCCATCTCCTAAAGCTGTGCTGTTTTGGAGCATATTGGGGAGGTTGGTTCAAGCAGGTGAGCGTAAGGACGAGGAGTGGGTGTTACTGGCTCTCAACTTGGTATTTGAGGAYGTGCGTATAATAGCTGTGGTTGGCGTTCTGGCGCACCATCACAGCCACTTCTGTGCACCCCGAGGTGCTGCAGGTGCCCTCCCAGCAGTCCCTGTTCTGGGTGAGACGGTGGGTGCTCTCGGCCTCCACCAGCACCTGGGCGATGCCGTGCATTTTGAGCTTGAAGCGGACGTTGCGGTTGGCCGGCAGCAGCCCCGAGAGCGGCTCCAGGATCTCGTAGTCATGCTGCCAGTTGCTGTACGTCTGGGGGAAGGGCGGCCACTTCACCTCCGTGTTCAGGCACCTGAGCAGGTAGTTGAAGATGTAATCGTAACTGCCGGGGTCAGACTTCTTCTTGGAGTAGATTTTGAGGGCGAAGTTGCCCGCGTGCGGGAGGTGCACCTTGAGCTCGATCTGGTTGCCGCGGTGGATCTGCAGCACGTGCTGCCGGCYGATGTCCTCGGCCAGGCTGCTGTCGTCGGCGTGCAGCGAGGYGAGCACGCTGATGTCCCTGCCCAGCGTGAAGGTGAGCGAGCAGCGGCCGTCGTTGGTGTGCAGCACGGGCTCGCGGTGCGATGGCCGCAGGAAGCCGTGGCGCTCCGAGAACCAGCTGGGCCCCACGGGCTGGTGCAGGGCCTTGGGGAAGCGCACAGTCGTGTCCACGGACTCGCACTCCACCACGTACTCCACCACGCAGTTGTAAACGTCGTCCGAAGCCTCAGCCTTGGAGGGCTTGGCAAAGATCTCCAGCTTGTGGCTCCCCGTCTGCTGTGGGTAGATGTCCAGCTTCATTCCGTGCTTTTTCAAAGTCATTAAACCGTGTTTGTCTGTTCCCATCAGCTTAAACATAAATAATGTGCCGGCACGGCAGTCCACCGATACAGAGGCTTTCCCGTTTACTGAGAAACACAARAGAAAAGAGGCTGTGTGAGAGTGTCAGCACAGTTTTTGCATGTACCCCCTGTTCTGGGAAGGCTAATCTGGCCCAGTAAATGGCTGTTTCTGTAACAGTAAAACAAAGAACTGCAATTGGTAGCTGTCAGCTGTCTGCTTAGACCCAATGTCCCCAGAAAGAATGAGAGTGGCCTTTGTTTGGGAGATGTGCATTTATCCTCTTCTGATACACCCTGCCATGGAGCTGTGGTCTGATAGAACGTGAAAGCCTGTGTGAAATATWACTGAAAGTACCAGCAGGTACCATCAGGCCAGGTTGGATGGGGTTTGGAGCAACCTGGTCTAGTGGAAGGTACCCTTGCTCATAGTAGGGGCTTGGAGYGAGATGGGCTTCAATGTGCCTTCCAACCCCAGCCATTCTGGAACTCTGTAATTCTGTGATCAGCCCAYGTGCTCATGAAGGGCTGAATTAGAGGTGATCAGACCCAACTGCGAGCCCAGTAGCTGGTCCCAGGAGCTTTGAAATGCAGAAACTCTCCAGTCTGTAGATGTGAGATTCATCTACCTCCCTGTGACCCTGAACCCAAACAGCTTAAAGTCTTCATGAAGTCCTAAAATGTTGATGTCCCTAAGTTTTAACTCTGTTCTTAGCATTCATAAATTAACCATCCAGTTAAATTCCTGCAGCTCTTGGAAAATCCAAAAGAGGGGAGCTTAAAGGTGGGCCTTGTTCGGTGGTGGCACCTGAGGGGCTTTCTGCTGAAAAGCTGCTGGACTCACTGAGTTGCTCAGTATTGCCTGAAGAGGTGGCCAGCAGTGTGTGTTGGATATGGGGTGCCTGAGGGAAGGTGCCCATGACTCACCTTCCCCAGGGTGTTACCTGTTTGGATGATGGGGGTCTCGGGGTGAGCAGCCAGCAGCCCCAGCGTGTAGAAGCTGCTGTTGTACAGCATGTTGTTCTCAAACTCCTTCAGCGTCAGCGTGGGCTGCAGGAGCTGCCAGTTRCTGTTATCTGGGAAGTGACTGTTAATGAACAGGGCCGGGTGAGTCAGAAAGTAAAACTCATTGTACCTGGGAGAAGAAGGGARGAATTAAGGAAAATGAGTAATTACAAATAGCGAATTCTGCCCCCGCGCACCAGTGGTGGTTTCAGCAGRAGGATGTTGGAGCAGTTTGAGCTGCTGATAAACTGAGATCCATAGGTTTGCAATTCCCCAGGCAGAGAAGAAACCTGAGCTTTGGTCTTCTGTTTCCAGGGCAAATGCTGAGCTTTGGGATAAACCCTGGTATTTGCACTATTTCCTTGCACCCATGGGCTCCTGGAAAAAGAGGGAGGCACTGGGSTTGGTTGAAATGGATGTGCCACGGAGCATTGCTGCCGCTGAGGATGGGATAAGCAAACCCAGCTGGCTTTGGGCAGGTTGTGACTTTGTGCTCAGGGCTGCTGCCTCTCTACAGGCCATGCTCCATCCCTCGTGCAGGCAGCCTGGCTACCTTGCTCCTGGCTTTGGGTTTTCCTGTGGCACCTGAGATGTGTCTGTTCGGTTTACCAGTGCCAGCAGCTTTCTTTGTGCCTTTGTGGAGGGTTTATGTACTAAGACAGAGGGGGGTCTTTACCTGTAGGTGAACTTGGTGAAGCTCTTATCCACAGARCCGCTCCCCCAGGTGCTGTCCAGTAAGTGCCACCTTCCCTCAAGGTACACAGCGTTCCAGGCATGGTCAGAGTCCCCTGTGAAGGTCTGCCCTGTCTCGTACCCATATCCCTTGGAATATCCTGAGAGCTTCTTGCACTGAATCCCTGCAAGACTGAAAGGAAATGATAAGCTGCAGCAGGGAAGGAGAAAAGGTGATGATGCCTGAGGTGTTGGGTGGAACGGTTTGTTTTTGTACCCTTTGCAGAGACACTCAGAGCATCCTGCTGGAGGAAGGGTCTCTTCTCTCCCAGTTTTTGCATATTTGCTATATTTTTCCCTGATGCACCATCAATTCAGCACTGTTAGAGGATGACAAAGATAAAGTGTGCTTAATTGCTCTCTGTCTTGTTACTCAGCAGAATCCCTTTGCTGCTGTCCACAATTAGCCCATGTAATTATAAATTAAAAGTGCAGGCTGTTCTCTCCCCGTGACAGTGGGCCTRGTGTTTGACACCAGCTCTGGTATCTCAGACCTCATGGGATTGTGGATGCTGATTTAGTTTCCTGAAAGAATGAGCTTTYGCTTGCCCAGGGTAGAAATGATTAAATAGTTTCTTTCTAAAAACGTAATGAATACCTGCGTGGATGTGTAAATAAGATTTAAATAAGCACTGTGTTAATAAGCTCTCTGCTGATGGATTCTAACATTGGCATCTTATTTCACCATTAATCTAAAATTGCTTCACTTGGAGTGTTGTCTTTTGTGTAGGACAGCACTGACATTTTTCTTCTTCATTGAGAAGTGTGTTAAATGGAACAACTACCTTAAGTAATAAAGTGTGCAGGCTTCCAGAGTGAGATTGTCTGCATAATGTGGGTTTAGCTCAGGAGAAAAGTGATATTTATGGGGTAGATAATTAGCATGGTTGTTAAGAAGTTGAGGCGTGATAACAGATACTGGCTGGCAATTGGCAGTGCAGTGGAGGTTGGAGGGAGGGCTGCTTTTTCCAGGGAGAGGATGCTGGTTTCCAGGGAAGGTGGGCACTTCAGCAAAGGAGAGGCTGCAGCAGTGACAGTGGGCACTGCCTCTTCCACGAGTATCCAGAACAAGCAGGCCAGACTGGAAGGAATTCCATGGAGAAACCTGGTGCTGTAGGTGGTCTGGAAAGCCCTTGCCAGCCCACAGGCCCTTGTGAGTCAAATTCTAATGTGGAGCTGGGCAGTAACTCTGGAACAACTCCACTGACAAGACTGGTGAGAGCTTGGATTTACATGATGTAACTGAGACTGGGAGCTGGCCTGGGAGCTTTGGGRAAGATTTGATCCTAGGAGTTTCAAGGAGCTAAGTACCGAATTCCCACTAATTTCATGGGGATCGGCATCTAATCCTTCTGGGCTTCTCTAGACATTCTTGTTAGCTGGGATATTTAGAGGGAACATTGAGGAACAAGTTCTGCTCTCACTGTGCTCTCAGTTACAGCAAACRTTGGCAAAGCAGCAAGAAGAGTTTGTGCTTGGATGTGTTCAAAGTTCCCAAGATAAAAACTGGAGTATTTAAACTGATCTCTCTAGTAATGGACAGAAAAGAATCCAAGCTAAAACATCCTGTAAAGGAGCAATTYGGTGTAGGTGAAAAGGGTGCTCATTTCTCTGGTCTTGTGTCACTGACTTGATAAATTAAGCAGGCAGAGGGAAGACTGGGAAGATCTCCAGAACTGGTTRAAGTGGCAGTGTGAGGTTGAAGATGACCTAGATACCAAATGGACTGGAAGAACTGAATTAAGAAACAGTTGGGAACATTTGCTTGGTGAAGCAAGGAGATTAAACACAAAGTTGCTTTTCTGCCTCAAAAGCAGTAGGAAATAGTCTGGCTCTTACTACAGGTGTCACTGGAATTCAATGGCATCTTCTTCCYTTTGATTTTAGGTTGACTTTGATCATTTGATCTAAAAAAGGAGCAAATCTGGCTTCTCCAGAAGGACACAGAATGGTTTTTGCTTGTGCTGGGTAGGTGTATGCCTCTGTGCCTGAAAAGAAGGAAAGCAACTGCCTGCAGGAAACAGGAAGGGATGTGAAATCTGGAATATTTACAGATGGGATGTGAACAAGAAGCAGCTCAGTGGTCAGATCCCCTTTAGGCAGTGAGGCCAGCTTTGCTCCCAAAGCTGCTGAAACCTCTCTGGGACAATAATTGTTGTGCCTTCATCACTAACCCTGGTGAGTGAGTGTCTCCCTAATTCCGGGCTGCAAGGTTTGCCCCAAACGGAATCCATGAGTTTGCACTGCTTCACTGAGCTTTGCTAACTCCCCGAGTGTGCTGTCAGCTGAGGAGCCAGTTCTCCATAAATGCTGCTGAAATGTTGCTCAGGAGCCTGTGTTGGCATTCACTGCTACCACACCTGATTTGGGAAAGTGATGCCTCATGGCCAGCTTCCCACTCTCCCTGCCCACCTTGCCTCTGTGACAGCAATCCCAGCTAATGGGARGGAGTCTGGCTGCCAAAGCTGTGCTCAGAGGTGACAGTGTTGTGTCTGCAACAGGAACTGTTGCCTCTGGCACTGGGACAAGTAGGGCTCAATCAATGTCAGGCCTTGCCTTCAGCAGGACCTTTGGGGGGACTCCTGGTTAYTGGCAAATTGGGTTGTTTGTTCAAGCTCCCTCACAGGAGTTAGGAGGAAAAGGCACGTTGAAACACCTTTCTTCCTGCCAAACTTGGCTCTGAAAAGCCCTTCTCTAAGACAAGTGCTCTTTCCCTCCTGCCCTTCTGCTCAGCCTAAGAGCAGAACAGAGCACAGGACAAGGGATGAGGAGAACCCTGTGCAGGAAAGGGGTGTTGTCTTTAAATACAGTTTTTCAGGAAAGGAGCTAAATGTTTTGCTAATATTTGACAATATAATAGTCTGGATGACTGGGAGGTTTCCTGAATCACATAGTGACTAATCAGCCTGGAACTGAGGAATTGCGAGTAAATCAACAGAGCCTTTAAATAGTCAGAGATATCCTTGGAAAGATTAATGCTTTTAATGAACTAAGCATATGCTTTTTAATGAACAGATGCAAATTCCCCCCTTCCAACTGCTAATAACTGTTCCATAGGATGCAGCTATAAATTCATACTTTGCCATCCTATTTCTTTACTCTTTAGAAAACAGGATCCAATGTCATAGAATGGTCTGGGTTGGAATGGACCATATTTTGGGATACGTTGTTGGCTGGAAGCATTCACCACTTCAGCATCTGACACAGTATGCTGGGTTTTTTTTTTTTTTAATCTCTCCTTTTCCCTGTAGATTTTGTCTATTCCATGGTGAAAAACTTCTCAAATACTTTTGGATGGTGTGGAAAGCCAGTTGTTACTTAGATATGCTGTTAATAACTGATCTTTGATTTTTCCAAGGGAATGGAAGCTGGAAGCTTCTCCCTAGGARTGCTGCCTTGCACGCTCATGCTCTTAGGATTGATTTTGGAAATCCCTTCCAGTCTCCTGTCCCTGAGTTGTCAGGTCCAGCTTTGTCCTCTTGGGCAACCTTTCTGCCTAAGGCTGGTCCCCAAACTCTGCAGGCACCTTCATTGCTTTCCCTGCTGTGGAGTTTGGGGGTTGCCTTGTGCAGCAGCCATCTCCTTTCCCTACTGGGTTGGACAAATGTGAGGGAGAAGGGATTGGGGCTGCATCCCTGTGCTCCCTGCCAAGGATGGGCTGCCTCTTCTTTCTTAGAAATGGCTTTGTGGTTGTAAAGGCCTGCACTGTGGAGGCAGTTTAAGTGACTAATCCCCAGTGAAGTCCACAAGGTTTTGTTGGCAGAAAATAGGATTTTAGTCATTAAATGCTGACGTTTCCCTACAAAATGGGAATTGCRGTATTGGCCTCAACATTGCTGCACCTTGGGATTTGGCACAGAAAACAGCATGGGAAAAGCAGGGCTGTGTCCCTGGGGTGCTCCTGGAGGGGACAGGGCATCTCCAGAGGGTTTGGGGAAAGTTCCTCCTGGGACTCTGCCTGCCTCTTGCACRKGAGCGTGYTGAAGACAGYGCTCCTTGTTCAAGTCTTGTGATGYTTTTAACCTTCACATCCAGAGACTCCAAGGAAAATCCTGCTTCTTCTAATCAAATTAGCTCCGTGTTTTCATCTGCCATTATGTTAATCCAATGCGAAGCTCAGCAGATGGCACCAAGTAAATTATGCTGGGGAGGGGGGTGGAGGGAGTGGAGGAGGGAACAAAATTGACCTTTCTAGGACTTGCTGTTTTTCCACAGCACGGTTTGAAAGCTAAAGTTCCACAKCCTGCCTAAAGTCACATCAGTCAATGCAAAGGCAGACAGGATAGGCACAGAGATGACAAGGAATGTTAACTCTCCCTGTCACTGAATGCTTCTGGTTTACCTGCACATGTGTTCGAAGAGCTCGGCGTAGCCCTCGCARACGCTCTTGCCCATCCGAAGCACATCTCGGGGCTTGCACAAGCGTTGGCTTTTGTTGTGGTAGCCCACAATGTCGTATTCTGGGGGAAGGAGCACAGACAAAGGTTCATCCCAAAGCCTGAGGCAATGGTGTTGATGGGCAGCGCTCGGATCACTTTTCATCTCCATGAGTGCTGGGGAGGGTGGCTTGGCACTGCTGGGACCCAGCTCTGTCCCTCATCACCCTTTGCTCTAACCCTGGGCTGGGCTTCAGCACTCAAATCCAAACAGGAGGAAAACTATGATTTTTTGGACAAAATGGATGTTCTCAGGAATTGCTTTCAACTGGAGAATCTACAGTCTCAAGAGCTCCCAGAAAAAACCACAACATGCATGCAAGGTGTCAGACTGGTGTTACCTCAAAGGAAACTACTGAGCTCTTTGCACTCCTTACATGCAACTTGTACAAAAAATCCCTGGAAGGCAGCTTGTTGGGAAACACCAGAGGTGGTTTGTTGTGAGTGATTCACGGAGCTGTGGAATGGTTTGGGTTGGAAGGGGCATTAAAGCTCATCTCATTCCAATCTCCTTCCCTTAGTYCAGGCTGCTCCAAGCCCTGTCCAGCCTGGCCATACATCAATACCTGGTAGCTGAGGAAATCCTGATCTGTTGGAATGAGCACACAACAGCAGCACAGCAGGGCTCCTTCAGACAGAGCTTGAGGAGCTGGTCTGGGAAGGTTAATTCAATACCCCCAACCTTGGCCATGTCCACAACCTCTTTCTTAAAATACAAATGTATTGTTCTGACAGGGCTCTCAGGAATGCTGCATCAGCTGGCTCCCCTCCCCTCAGTGCTGGCCCAGAGGAGGGAGGGCTGGCACAGGCWGTGTGTGTGCTTTGATGAGATGCTGCCACTGCTCTTTTATCTGAGGGGCTCAGCTGAAGCCTCCTCRGTGCTGGCTCTGGGTGCTGGGAAAGGTTGGCTGCCCCCCACTACTGTTCAATGGCCACCAGCAAGGCCATGGGGCACCTGGAGGGGTGCTGGCTCCRTGGGGCTTTCTATTTGTGCCAGAAATGACAGCTAAAATAATTCCCTTTAGTGCTAATGCTGCACRGGGATAGCACCCYAKCACAGGCAGGAATTTAACTGGGTGSCAAGAGATGTCCAKGGAGCAGTGTTSTCACTTCCAGTCCATCCAAGGAAGGAGTTCATATCATCAGTGCAATTCCAGGATCAATACATTGCATTTTTGCCAGCAGATTTAAATTCCCAATCTCTATGTTTCTTTCCCGTGTGTGTAAATAGGGGTCAGTCTCACATGAAGGAATGAGAACCAGGGTCAAGGTGATGTAAAAGCTCTTGTGAGAGGATCCCAGCACAGCTGTCAGGGCCAGAGACCTCAGGAGACATTCTCCTGAATGTGTGAGGAGTATGGACTGGCTCCAAGCAGGTCTGGCCCAGGCAGTGTGGGCAGGAAGGRTGAACAGCAGAGTGAGCAGTGCTTGTGAGTCAAAGCCTGTGCAGAGCTGAGCACTGTCCGTGTTTCAGGGCAGGATCAGGGCAGTTGGGACTGACCCAGCTGAACTAACCCTGCAGCTCTGCTCTCGGTGGCTGTGAGATGAGGCCCAAGCTGCTCTTCCCCTGTCCATCCCTCATCCTGCCCTGCACTAGTGCCTGGCAGGAGGGGCAGGAGCTGRGGGAGAGCACAGCTCTGCTTCTCTGCCCCAAACCTTGATGGGAAAGGAACAGTTSTGCTTGTGCTACACCAAATGCCATCATGGTGCATGTGCAGTTCCCCCACCAGCGAGCCAGGGTGGCAAGAAGCCCCCTGTGATGTGCCAGGCTGGAAAGGCTCCAAGTGCTGCCTCCTCCTCCTCCCATCTCCTGGTTCTTGTGTAACTCCAGCCTGGGGATTGGGTAGGGAGGGGCTGTGGCTCTCAGGAGGGTGGGAAGGGAGCAGGTACAGGCAGGAACTGCACTCACACAGGTGCCAGTGGGACATGGAGCTGGGCAAGGCAGCTGGATGGCTCCTGGTGGCACCTGTGTGACACTGGGACCCTCCAGAGCAAAGGCACCAGGACCAGACTGTGCTGGCGGGGCTGTACTGGGCTGTGGGGACTTGGCACAGGGACAGAGATAAAATTTGGAATGGTTTGAGTGGGAAGGGATCTCCCATTAAAGATCATCCCATTCCTAYCCCCCTGCCAGGACAGGGACACCTTCCAAGAGACCAGGTTGCTTCTGAAATCTGTATCATCACCTGCTCCCTGTCCATGTCCTCAAAGCTGGGCTCTGGGGGTATTGGGTGGCTCTGAAGGTGACAGGCAGGCCCCAGGTGTTGGGCAGCCTGGCTTTGTGTTCTGGCTCTTGGATGGCAGGGACTCACCTGGTCACACCTCAGATGGAGCCCCAGATTCACCCTGGACACTCMAACCTTGTGGGACCCAGCAGTGTGAGGAGAGGGATGAGGAGAACAGAGCCTCTGGATGCATTTTGGGATAAAAACTTCCAGAAAGCCTTCATTCCGTRTCCCCCATGGAACTGACCCAGAGACGCTGAGTGAATTGCCATGGCAGTGGGATGGGGTGACAGTGACACCTTTATCTCCAAATGGAGATCTCAGCCTACCTATGTGATGGCAAATCCACATCCAGATGGCTCGGACCTTCTCCAGGTCTGTCCGGGCTTGTTTCAGCAGGGCTTTCACCAGCTCTTCCACGCTGTTCTTCACGTTCACCTGTGTGTGGGGAGGAAGCTTTGCAAGGCCGTGGTGAAGAAATCCCCATGGAGGATCTCCCGTGCCCCCCACTCCCTTGTTCTTCTGCAGCCAGTGAGACCCCCCTGCCAGAGGATGCTCTACCTCCAGCTTCCTTAAAAACAGAGCTGCAGTGCTGTAGGTCCATGGATTTTTGGTTATAGCTCCCAGARTRGGATCTCTTTGCTAATGYTTAAAGATTTTTCACTTGTTGGAGATTCTGAGGCTGGTACCTCAGAGCTCAGCCTGAGCTGGTGKTGGTGCTGGGAGCCAGGGTCATGGAATGTCCCTGCAGGGGAGCTGGGAGGAGGCAGAGGCAAAAGCAAGACTTACTTCTAATGCATAGGCATCCAGCTTCTTAAATTGCTGCAGATCTACTGGCATGGATTTCAAAGAGGATTTGTCCCACGGATATGCTGGGAAGAAAGGAGTTGTCATTGTTTTGGGAAGGGAGGGKGTGTTTGTCCCAGCTGCACGGGGGAACAAGGGGATAGAGCTCCTGCSTGCCCCGTGGGGACATCCATCAGCGGGTGCTTAGGGAGCAGGGACACCAGGGCGCCCGCGGGAGGTCCCTGCCAGCTGCAGGGAAAGCAGGAGCCATCCTGTCTGCTCTGCTAGAATTTGGGCAGTGCTGGAGTGGGAGCTGCCCCTGCGACTTTGGCACTGCATAACAGCATGGAAAATCCTGGGCTATTGTGTGGAGGGGTAGGAGACAGAGCGCAGAAGTACCAGGGAAAATCTCTACTGTGCAAGCCTTAGAAAACACGTGACTTCTTTATAAAAACCCCAGCACTAAAGAGCTGGGTTTCTCCAGGACTTTTGCGTGGTGAAACGCCACAAGTCTGCAGGAATTCAGGCACATGAGGAATGCAACACTGGGGCAGTCGGACTGAACCCGCTGTGCCCTCTCTGTCTGCATCTTTGCAGGCTCTGAGGTCCTGGTTCTACTCACTGTGAACAAAGGATTAACAACTTGCCCTAATAAACCAGATAACTGATTTTTTTAACAGTCTTGGAATGAGCTGACACTGCTGTCTCCCATCARTGAGCAATGGGGAAAGGAATGGACATCTCCCCTGGACTGAGCCCTGCCTGCTCTGCTGGCTGGAGAGAGGAGACCTGAAACAGCCATCTCCTGTCCCATGCACTGTTCAGGACTGAGAGATCCCTCCAGCTGTCTCTGTAGGATTGTTCTTTCTCTAAGCAAAAAGGATTTAAAAGAGACTTTGCAGTGAAAATGGTGTTGTGTGACTCCTGAGTGCTGGGAGAGRTGGATGCATGGTACCATGGAGCTGCTGTTTGCTCTGGGCTGTGCAGGGGCACAGCTGGTCCCTTCCCCCTTCACTGCTGACCCTCTTGCTCAGCAGGGGCTGGGAGCAGGGTGCAGGAGAGGCTCCCAGAGCATCCTGTCCCAGCTGAGGAGCCAGCAGTGCCTCTGGAATCTGCATCCATCCTCTGCTCCTGCTCTGCTCCCCCAAATGGGCTCTGGCCCTAGCTCTGGGGGTGCCAGAAGGTCTGTTCCTGGGTGGCAAAGGTGTGTTGTTAACGAGAGCCCTGTTCTTGAAAGCCGGGGAGGAGGTGTGGAGCATCCCCCATTTCCTGCCCCAGTGCCGGTGGGATGCAGGCACACCCCTGCGCCGGGCAGGCTCCTGTCTGCCAGGAACAGCACCCATTTCTTATCAGGCTGGCTTGTTTATCTRTGTTTTCCCTGAAAAGAGGTGTTACATTGACCTGAAGAGGGAGAAAGCAGATTTGCACATTTAAAGGCTCCCACTCTCTGCAGCTCTGAAAATTACTTTTTGCCTTTTTGAAAAGGGGATGTTGTTTTTTAGAATGTGGTTATGGGGTTTTGTCTTTGCCAGGTTTTCTCTGCGGAGGCTCCGTGCAGGAGCAGGATCTGCAGGGGCTTGGGAGGCTCTGAGCACTCAGTGCCTCTTTGCCTTGCCTGGGTGTGAAGCCTGGGAAGGGCTTGGGCAGGTGAGACATTCCCAAAGCCATCCCGAGGGACAGGCGGTGGCAGCGGACACTGCCCGTGCTCTGGGATAGTTACCGTGGAGATCCTTCGCTCCCGGGGGCCGCGGGGCCTCAGTCCTCTGGAAACCTGAAAGCGGAGAAGGGAGCGGGAGGGGGAGGTTGTTGGGCACAGACAAAACATAAATAGGAATGAATTATTGTGGGCAGCAGGAGCGGGTGGGAAAAGCTGGAACTGAGGCTCCTCTTTGCCCATTCCCACCCATTTGTTCAGGGATGGAGCGCGCCCCTCATGCCCCGCTGGCATCCCTCAGAGCCCGCATTCCCCGGCAGTCAGGCATCTCCTGTTCCAGCCCCAGGGTGCGACATCAAACCCCAGCCCAGCCCGGCCACACCGCCCCAGGCGGGGAGGAAGGGAGCGCTGAGCTCCRGAGCTGTTGGATGAYGGCCCCGGCTGGAGCTCTGCGGCASCTGGGGATTGCTGAGGGACACCAGAGTGTCACCACACGCCTCATCCCCGGGCCCAGGAGCAGAAGGGTTTTGCTCTTCAAGCCCCAGACATGGGTCCAGCAGCAGGTGCCCTTCAGCACCTCCCGGGGGAGGGACAGCTCGGAGAGATGCGGGGACAGAGCACAGCCTCACCTTTGTTGTCGTGTCCTCGCAGCCTCTGGGAACCTGCAACAAGCCCGGCACGGTCAGTGTGGTCAGCCCAGCCCTGCCCGGGCTCCCCGGCTCCAGCACAGGGAGGGGAGGATGGACCGAGCCCCTGCCGGGGGTGAAAGCCAGGGCTGTACCTTTGCCCAGGGAGAGTCTCTTGAAGAGCTGCGGCGGTGTATCCTCGCGGTGAATCTCCACCGTCACTTGGGTTTCTGCAGAAACAATGATAAACCCTCTTAAAAGGGAAAACTGACCGGAATATGGAGGAGAGGGCGGGAGTGCCTGCCGAGGTAGCTCTTAGCTTTAGACAAAGCAGCAGCTCCGGTGATAGCCCAGGTTTATCACCATATTAAAGAGCTCTTGATGGAGCGATAGCAAGCAGAGAATCAATGTCTTCTATTGATTTTTGTTGGAATTAAACAGAGAAAGGCTTGAAGTGATGAAAATGGTTGGACTGGTGATACTAAAATGTCTGGCAAAGGCCAYTGCAGTGCCCTGGCAGGGCCAGCTGTGATCCAGGGATTCTCTGATGCTCCAGAAAAACCTCCCYTGGAAACCTGGGCTCCATCTGTGAAGTGTCACAGAAGGAAATAAAGGAAAAGAGTGAGGAAGTCTCTTATAAAAACTACTCCAACTTTTTGACTGAGACTGCATTTTTTTGGCAGGTATTYCAGAAGGGTTTGCAACTCCCAAGGTTCCCTGGAGGGCTCCCATTCTGGGTCAGGCAGAGGTTACTCGGGAGACTGAAGGTCAGGATGTTAATGCACCTCGGGGCTGCCATCCAGTGAAACCTCACACAAGTTTATCAAGAGCCTCATGACATTTGGGGTTTTCCTTGAAAGTCAGCTCTTGGAACTGTCTAATTAGGTGGGAATCTGCATTTTAATCAAAGAATAAGATTTTCTGCAGCATTTACCTTTAGAAAGGGAAGTTTCTCTGTGATTATGCAGAGAGAYTCAATGTTCTTTAAGCCCCAGAACCAAAAAGCAAGAAAAACTGTAAAAWCTGTAAAAACCTAAATCTTAGAACTTATCTCCAGTTCTAGGATGGTTGCAGAGATCAGGGTGTCATAATAGAGCTGGCTGGTGTATTTTGTCAGTTAATTCAAAGATAAAATGAAGTTGTTTCTCAAAAGGAAGTCTTTATGCAAATRGTTTGATTTCCTTAAGTTTTTTGTATTTTCAAGGGTCCTTATTTATTGCTTAAGATTATTTTCACTTTGCTTTTTTTGTGGAGTTTCTCCCCAACTTTCAATTTATAATTTTTTTCCCATAAATTAAAATTCTTTGTTTTCAAGGCTCACTGGTGATGAATTCCTTCTGCTGATGAGTTTAAAAGGCATTTAACAAATGAAAAACACAATGCCACTTTTTTCCAAGTGCTGTACCACTGCTTTAAAAACTGGCTGTATGAAATGGTTGCTGGTGCTTTTATGACTTTTTAATTTAACTATTCCTGATCAAGATATCCTCCATAAAGAATCATAGAATGGRTTGGATTGGAARGGACCTTAAAGATCCTCTTGTTCCCACCCCTGCCACTGGACCAGGTTGCTCTGATAACGCTGGCTGTTCTCCTTGTGCTCTGTGGCCAGACAAGGCTTTGAGGGGCAGCTGTCCCAGGATGGGTTTTTCTCTCTTTTGGGGTGTTCTGAGGTTTTTTTATTGGAGARAATCTTGTCGGGAGCTCAGTGAAGCCCCGCTATGTCTCTCAGGTCACAACTTACCTTTGTCAAGGTGCGAAGTGATGGGTGGTGTCTTCTGTCGGGGCTCTGCGGGGCTGCACTGGCCTGGGGGCACAAAGGGAAACGCTCAGAACCTCGGGGCACGAAGGGAAATGTCTCAGAACCTCGGGGCACGAAGGGAAATGTCTCAGCACCTCGGGGCACGAAGGGAAATGTCTCAGCGCCCCGGAGAGGGCGGCACAGCCGGCAAGGATGGCTGCAACCAGCCCTTGGTTGGCAGGGAGGTGAGGAACGCTCAGGAAGCTCGGTCCTGTTTCTCCACATTCAAAGCTCGATCGCTCCTGCTCCGGGTGCCTCACCCCTCTCCGGCGGATGCTCCAGCCCAGGACGGGGGTGCTCGGAGCAGGGAGTGTTTGGGGAAGTGGGTGGGAGGGAAGGGCGGTGCTGGGGGCTTGGAGGGGAAATGGGACCCCTGGTGTGGTTGTCAGCAACTCATCCTCATCCTCAGCTCTGGGCTCCTGAGTGTCCTGGTCCCGGGGTCCCTGGGGCAGACGGAGGTGTGGGCAGCACCCGGCAGCACAAAGCTGTGCCCGGGGAGGGAGCAAATGCCGGGGGACCCCGAGCCCTCGGCCTCGGGCTCCGGGGGGTGTTGGCTGGTGGATCTCTCACTCTTTTTCCAAGAGTCCTGGGATCCCCACCCCGCCTGCCCGGAGGCCAGGCAGGAACCCGGGTCCCACAGCTTGTCAGAGCCCATTTGTGCCGTGTGGCCGTGACAGGATCAGCCGGGGGCAATGGGGTCTTGTGGGGTGGGGCCACAGCCTGTTTGCCTCAGTGGGGCTGGGGGTTATAGAAGTTTGAAACTATTTTGGCAGCACCAGGGGTGTCAGAGGCCTCATCAGGACACAGACAGAGCTGGTGAAAGGGGAATTCATTAACCCCTGTGGTGCCAGAGGAGCCAAAGCTCCTCTGGTATCTGAATTCCCCCTCCCAGGGGTTTAAACTGTGCCTAAGGTGGAGCTGCAAGCAGAGCATCCCATGTGCATGCTAAATACCCCTGCCATCAATTCAGCTGGGAAATGATCAATAGCAACCTCTCAGTCACTGGCAGAGGAGGCTGACTCTGCAGCTCTRGCTGCAGAATCTCTTGAGCATGACAGAGGAGAGAGTGCAGGATATTTATCTGCTTCCTGGAGTGGAGGCTTTTGTTATCTGCTCTGTTAAAAAAGCTCTCAAGTAGTGCCTTGCCATGAAATATTGTTTGCTCACGGACTGTGGGCAGCCTCCAGCCACCAGGGAGTGCCTTGGATCAGGGCTCCTGCCGAGCATCCTGCTGGGAGCGGCTGTGGCTCTTGCACGCTGCTATTGCTTGAGCCATGGAGGAAAGGTTCCTCCTCAGTGTCACTGAAATCGGCTGTCTGGTACCATGAGCATTACCTGCATCTTGCTCTGCTTTTGCCCCTGCCTTTCCCTGCTGACGCCACAGTACGCTTAGACTGCCAGGAAAGCAAGTGGGATGGTCTGAGCCCCTTCCCTGGGAGCTGCTCACAGTTCTGGGGTCGCTTCCTCAGCTGTTCCTTCCCCGCTGTTTCAGGGCAGAAGCCTGGGAATTAGCATGGGAACACTGAGGACTAGCAGCCACATCATTCCTGGTCAGCAATCCCACCTGCCTTGTGCTCASTCTCTGAGGGGTGGAGATGCAGAAAGACTGGGGGAGAGATGGCTGAAAAGATTCTTCGCAGCCCCCAGACCCTGCTTGAAGCCGTGTGAGTGCTGGGGAAATCTCTGCCAGCTCTGTCTGCAACCTGAGCAATTTGGGGCACTGAATTTCCCCTCCATCAGCTGGCTGTGAAATGTAAGAGCTCCGTGCGTTTGTAATCTGACCGAGCTCCGTGGCAGGAGAATCCCTGTGGATTCTCCTGGGTGTGCGGGGCTCGGCTATGCCACCCCTGTGCATCCCGCCCGCGGGGCACGGGGAGCACGGGGGAAAGGGGTGATTCCCGGGACCCTTGGTGTGCCTCCACTGGAGCCCCTGAAAGCTCTGGAAAGGGAGGGGTTTATGCTGCAGAGGCACAGCCGGGGGCTTTGGGTGCGTCCTGGGGTYGGTCTCACAGCGGGAGGGGCTGACATACCGTTCAGCTCCGTGCCCTGAGGCCGCTGGGATCTGCTGTTCCCGTTGCCATCACCCTCCGAACCTGTGAAACACAAACGGGACATTGGMAGGGTCCTCCCGCCCTGAAGTGCTGCCACTGCCCGGAGGCCGAGTGCCCCAAACCCTCCCATGCAGCCGGTTATCCCCGCTAAAGCCCGGTGTCATCGGGACCCACCTTCTGTCTCATCTGCAGCCTTGGCTGCAGCTCTTGCTGCAAAAATATGAAATCCCCGGGGGCAGAAAGTGCAGTAGTCCAGGTCCAAGCCGCTTTGRTAGGATTTGCTCGTATTTGAGCAGATGCTGGATGCCGTGCTCGATGGAGCATGGACACAGCTTGCTGATAGCTCTGCCTACAGTTGTTAGTCTGGGACTGGTTGCCTGAAAATTCGAATTCTGCCCCAAGTTTTAAAGCAGGAATACTCGTTCTCCTGCCTTTACATCTGCAGCGAGGGTCCCCTTGCAGCTGCAGAACACAGCCGCAGGTTTTTGGAAGACCCGCTGCAGGACAGGGAGCCGGGCCAGGGACACTGTCCCAAACTGTAGCTATAAATGGCTCAGGACAGTGATCCTCGGAGACAAAGCCCGGGCACGCTGCGAGCAAAACAGCTCTGCCCCTGTACTCCAGTGCGGCGGTGCTGATGTGGGGCGAGACTGCTGAGCCCTCTCCCTGCTACCCCTGCACAGCCCGGAGAGCCCCTGGGGGCACCTCGGGCCAGCGCCGGACACAGCAAGGTGCAAACACAGCCCTCGGAGCAGTGTCCGTGCGTGTCCCTCCTCCTGCGCCCGGGGCTGCACGCTCTGGAGCCGGGCAGGGCGCAGCTCGGAGCGGGGCTCAGCAGGGCTCTGCTGCTCCAGCCGAGATACGCTGGGCTTCTACAGAAAAGTTGGCATCGTGGAGTTTTGCAGCATGTGTGCAAAGAGGAGGAAGGCGAGGGGAAACCCAAGCCTWGCTCCAAAGCTGCTGCTGCTCCGCTTTGCCCTGCCCTCCCTCGCCCGCTGCGGGCGCGATGTTACCTGCGCCTCGGCCGCCTTCCGCCTGCGCCTCTCGCTGCCCCTTGTCCTTGCTCGCTGCCTCCTCGGGGCGCACGATAAGCAGCAGACTGATGGTGACCGCATTGGGATCTGCCTTAAAGTCCATGGTACCCATCAGCACGGCCGGGGCGCGGGTGTCGCCGCCGAGCCGCCGCTGCTCCGAGAGCCGCGAGTGCTGSCCAGCCCTGCAGAGGCGAGCGCGCCCCCGCCCCGCGCAGCCCCGGCCCTGCCAGCTGCACCATCGGGGCTCTGCCAAAGCCGACCCTAATGAAGAGGTTACAAGTCACCTTTGAAAGGAAATCGCAGGAGGGATCCGTTTCCTAAAGCAGAGGAAGGAGCTGCGTTTCGGGCGGGGGGGGGTCTGGTTTCAGAGCGTGCCCCCGGCTCCCTCCCCTCTCTGTGCCCTTTTCGGYTTTAAGCACTTGTCTACACTCAAATCCCCCAGCACCACTGTTCGCTGGGGGGGATTCGCTTCCCGGCACTGGCACAAATCCTTAAAAGGCTTTCTCTTTGGATCCTGTCCCCCGGCAGAACTCAAAGGATGCTTTGGAGCATAAATAAAAACAATAACTGCTGCGGGAGGAGGGCAGCGGTGGGGAGGAGGGGCTGGAAAGGGGACACGAGCCTCTGCGGCGGGTAGGATCGGTCTCTGCAGGACTGCCTGGCGTGGAAAGGGACAGCAGAGAAGTAAAATCGCAGGCTGCGGTCCCCGCCGTTCCTAAGGGTCCAAAATCCCACCTCTCTCTGCCCCATCAGCCCGCGACCCCAGCTCTCTGCGGTGCTTGGAGACAGCTGATGAGAAAGGAAAGCCTTACAAATCCCCGGCTTTCTAGTAACTGTCCCAGCCCACAAAACGGGGGACAYGAAGGGTTACAGTGCGGGTTACAGGGCTCAGCTGGTCCCTGCAGCTCACAGAAGGGGCTGTCAGGGACACGCGTTCTAATTTTACCGCTGGCCCCTGTCCCGGCCGTGCTGCCAGCCCCCGCCCCGGCCGGGGGTCCCGGGGGAGCGGCAGCACCTGTGGGCTGAAGGGCTCTCCGGCAGCCTTGGGAAGGGCTGTGGGAGGCGCCCGCTGGCACACAGGGGCTTCGGGAGCTTGCCATGGGCAGGGTGCCTTTTTGTGGGTGTTGCTGTTGCTTTTCAGGCAGGAGTGTGGGAGCAGCGGGCTCTTCTGCCTGCAGGTGGGGAAGGTTGTCCTGGTTCCACGGGCACGAGCTGGTACTACTGCCTGGTGTCAGGTTACTGTGTTTGGAGACACGGGTTTTCCCGTGGACCTCTATATAAATCCTGTCCCCTCCCAATCTCCTGCCCCTTTTCTGTTGCTGAGCCCCTTCCAGGGCACGGACAGTTGATAYGCCCCCGTGCTCGCCTGCAAATCCAGCCCTAAGCAGCTCCTCAGCATATCCCAAAATAGCGTGTGTGGCCRCAGGGAACCTGCATCCCTCCAGCTCTGCTGCTGCACCACAGCACTGTCCTGAGCCCCCCGTGCCCCGCTGGACAGTGCCACAGCACCCCTGCAGTGCCAGGGGGAGTGCCAGGGATGGGATGTGCCTGCAGCCCCAGTGATGCGGCCAGTCCCGTGCCAGGATGGGCGATAATGTTGTTGGGGTCCAGGTTTTGCTCTTTAGTTCATGCATTAGAGGAATTTTTGTTTCRGGGGTGCCTGGTTCAGCTSTGGCCGWGAGGAGCTGKCTGGAGGTGGTTAAACCTGRTGAGGAGGAGGAGGAGGTGGAGGAGGAGGAGGAGGAAGGAGGGCCAGATGCATGCTGAGCCACGCTGGGCTCTGCCAGACAGACTTTCCAAGCCATCTGGGGCTTGCCCATCTCCAGTTCAGGTCCCTGAGATTTATGGCTGGAGTGACTTTCTAATCACAGTTTCACCATCTGCCCRTTGGCCTTTAGCACCCCCCTGTCACCTGTCACTGAGCCCTGGGGCTCCTGCCYGGCCCAGGCCACCCTTTCCTCCCCGGCCACTCGCCCAGGGTGCAGCCCTTTCCCTGCTGTCCCTTCTCCCTCACAGCCCTGGTGGCACAGTCTGCTCTCCTCAGCTGTTCATCGGCACAGCTGAATCCTAAGCCTGGTGTCACCCAGGTCTTGCCCGAAACTCTGCTCCAGCCCTCTTTGCGCTGCTCCAGCCTCCCAACCTTGGGGATATCCCTGCATGTCCCAGCCTTGCTGCTGCTCCAGGTCTGGTCTTGTCCTCGCTCCTCTCCAGATCAAAAGAGGCCACGGCTCAGTGACAACACAAAAAAACTCAGTGTGGAGATGCTGGTAGAAGCCATTGCCAGCGGTGCAGCCCAGGCCATGCTGGGAGCTGAGCTGAGCTGAAATGAGCTGAGCTGAGCTGAACTGAGCTGAGCTGAACTGAGCTGAGCTGAGCTGAGCTGAGCTGAGCTGAGCTGAGCTGAGCTGAGCTGAGCTGAACTGAGCGGCGTGTGACACCCAGCCGAGGTTGAGGTGAGGTTTCTTTCCCCAGCAGCTCTGAGCTGGGGCGGTCATGCCCCGGTGGCTGCCGGCACTGCCCTTCCCTCCGGGCTCTGAACACCACCASGGCCGCATTTCCCCTCTCTCAGCCATGAGCTGCTGCTCCTGGCCCCGCTTCCCACACCCGTGTCCTGCCACGAGGTGTTTGCAGCACGCTGAAAGCATCCCCGGGGAGCTCCTGCTTTCCCAGAAATGCCAATCTTCATGGAACAGGTAGCTGGGTTTGCAAGGCTCTTTTGCATTTTCCTAAGGTAGCTGAGTTTGGAAGCCTCTTTTGCATTTTCCTTTCTTCTCTTTTATCCTCTGTTTTCGCCTTGAGAGGGGAAGGGGAAGGCTTCTGGTGCTGATTTGCAGAGTGAGGAAGCACCAGCTGTACCTGAGGTGGGCCCTGCTGCCTCCCCTGCTCCAGCAATCCTTCCTGCTACATGAGTTTTCCATGGAAAAGAGTAACCTCCTCTCTGGCCTGAGATAAGGACACCACCAGCAACATCCCTCCATGGGCCAAGATATTTTTGAATCTAAAAAATTTTGCATTTTGAAGAGAAAAAAGAGAAAGCTTTATAATGCCATGTTGATTTTCAAATAAAGGCAGCTCGTGGATTTGCTGCAGGATTTCAAATGTTCACTGAGGTCCTAGGGAGAAGAGTTAATGACCAGAGAGCAAGAGCTGCTATCAGAGTGCTGTGATTCCATGCATTTACCCCGTGTCTGGCATTTCTCTAGGTGGGATCTGGAGGAGAGAGGAGTGTAAAAATGTAGAGCAAGAATTAGGTTATTTGAATCCCTTTGGGTGGAAAGGGAAGTTGCAGGCTGTGATCCTGGGAAAGTGTTTTGGCTCTTGTGCAGGTGTTCTGCCTTCATAAAGTTCTGTGAAGGCAYCAGCAGAAGGTGGGCTGGGGAGATTCCATCTCTGCTTGACGAAGAGGGGCTGCTGGGGACCTTGGTCCATCCAGGGCCATGGTTGAGGGTGTCCAAAATATTTTCCAAGACTGTTGTAGATGCCTTGGAAAATCTCCTGTCCTTCTTGGTGTGGTGATGTGGGGCACTTTCTCCTGCCCTGCCCTGCCCTGAGGGACCTGTTWCACCCTGGGGTTTCAGGGTCTTCTCCTCCATAGATGCATCCTGGGCGTGTGACCCCACTGGAGGCAGCACCAAAGTCACCAAAGCCAAACCTCCCTAATGCAGTGTGGAACTCACACATCCTGATGACCCCTTTGGTCTCTGGCTGATCCTCATTGATTTGACACGTTTTCCTTTTGTTTGGTGCTCCTTGTGTCACAGCCGTGTCCCTGCTTGTCCCCAGCTGTGCTGCCCACGGAGTAGTTCCAGTGTCACCCATGAGCTGTGGAGCCTTCGTGCTGGAGCTGTTCGCTGTGGCTGCTCCTCCTCCTCTGAGCCCTGTGAGCTCTGCTGTGTCCCTTTGGGGCTGGGGGGGCCAGGGCCACCTGTGCTCCATGTGCAGGGGTGTGAGTGGCTCCTGTCCTGCTCTCCATGCCCTCTCTGTCCCAGCCATCCCAGCCTCAGGCTGGCTTTGTTCCCCTGCCAGGAGCTGGGTATCTTCCCCTCCCTCTCCACCCAGACTCCCAGGATCCCTCTCCTCCTCAGAATGCCTCATTCAGAGCTCATTTTCGTGTGTATTTTGTGTGTGTATTTGCAGATGTGTTCAGAGTCTGGGCTTTGTTTCGTCTTTCCCAGCCATTGCTTTGCATTTGAAGGCATTGAATCCCAGCTCCTGTTTGCTCTCCCTGCAAATGAGTAGTGGAGGGCTGGGACGCCTCCGTGGAGGGTGACACATTTCAGCTGCACTCCCTGAGCTTTAATCTGCCCTCCTGGCCCCGCTGGCCTTTCTCCCTCCCTGCCACAGAGCTGCCCTTCCTCTGCTGCCGGCGTTTTCCGAGCCCAGGCTGCTCAGATGCCTCGTTCTGCCATTCTGCTGCGTCAGCAGCTGTGCTTCATGATTTAAGACGGCAGCAGAACTTTCCACTGAGCTATAAGCCCGTGTATTCAGTTTCCTGGTATCCACACAAGCTAAATGATGGCAGGGGCAGCCCTGCCAGGGAGGTCAAGGACGTGTTTGGATGTCAGGGAGACAATGAGGGCTGGTTTAGAGCAGAATCAATGCCGTGACCTCTGGGAAGAGCAGTGGGAGTGATGCTTTGGGGGTGAATTCTGCCTCCCCTGTGGAAATACCTGTCCAAAGGGTGGGCGAGCCTCCAGCAGGAGATCCTGCACCCYRAGCRGGATTGCTGGAGATRTAAGGCCAGCCTGGCTGGTCCCTGSCTTKTCATAGGGCCCGACACTCCTTCCCTGAGGAGCCTGGGGATGTCCTTCCTGCCCAGAGGTGTGGGAGCAGCCATGGGAGGTGTGYGGAGCGGGGTGAGGAGCGGGGCTGGCTCACAGCTCTGTGCTCTGAGAGATAACTGCAAATACTGCTGCTGGTTTCTTCTCTTCTCCCTGTTTTCAGGGACAAAAAACATTGCTGTGATGATTGCTGCTCTTTGTTCCTCCTCTCAGCCAGYTGGGGTTCCACCAGACCTTCTGCTACAGTTTCTTGGAAACCGAAAATGCCACCGTGGACACCCTGGGACAGAGACCTACAGGAGTGGCCGTGTGCCCTCGGGCACCGTGGTGG